TGCTAATACCACACTGACATGTTTACCTTAGCTTTGTAATAAGCCTTGGAAGTAGGTAGTGGGAACCCACCAATTTTGTTCTCCTTTTTAAAAATGGCTTGGGCTGCCGAAACCGGTTTGGCTCAATGGATAGAGCGTTGGCTTGGGGATTGAAGGGTCCCAGGTTCGATTCCGGTCAAGGGCTTGTACCTTGGTTGCGGGCATATCCCCAGTAGGGGGTGTGCAAGAGGCAGCTGATCGATGACTCTCTCATCGATGTTTCTAATTCTCTATTTCTCTCCCTTCCTCTCTGAAAAAAAATCAATAAAATATATTTTAAATAAATAAATAAAAATAAAAAATAAAAATGGCTGGGCTATTCTGTTTGTTTGAGTTGCCATAAAAATTGTGGAAATAGTTTGTCACTTTTTATTTTAAAACCCAGTGTGACATTTATTCAAGCTATATTTTAAAAATCTATGCATTAATTTTTGGAGAATTGACATTATCACATTATTGAGTTGTCCAATTCATGAAAAGAACACACTATGTTCATTAAGGTCTCCTTTAATTGGCTCTTCTCTCATACATGTTTTTGTGGTGCCCACATACAGATTATGCATATATTGTTATACTAATCCATAATTAATATTTAAAGTGTTTTGATACTATTGAAAACTGTCTATATACCAATTTCAATTTTCAATTGCTCATTGCTAGCATTCAGACATGCACATGATTTTAAAATATTGATCTGCTAATTTCACTTATCTATTTAAATAGCTTTCCTTATAAATTCTTTCGGGTTTTTCTACTTAGACAATTAAGTTGTCTGTGAATAAAGACAGTATTTTTTTTTCAAGAGGTATTTATTATTTATTTCTTCTCCCATTATTGTGCTACCTACAGTAACTAATAAAAGTAGTTATTGGGGGCCTTACTGTCTTGCTCCAATTTTAGGAAGAAAGCATTCAGTCTTTCACCAATAAAAGTTAGCTGTAGGTATTTTATACATCTATTTCATCAGGTTGAGGAAGACTTCTTTTATTGCATGAATATTGAACTGTGCCAAATTTTTTTTCTGCATCTAGTGAAATGATCATATCCTTTCCTTACAAATGGCTTATTATACGATTGATTTTTGACTACTGAACCAGTCTTCCATTACCAGAATAAAACCCACAATTTACCATTTTTACATATTGCTGAACTCACTCAGCCAATATTTTTTAAGGATATTTATGTTTACAATCATGAAGGCTACTGCTCTGACCTCTTATTTTCTTGTGATGACTTTGGTTGTGGTGTTTGGGTAATGCTCTCCTCATAAAATGAACTAGGAAGTGTCCCAAAAACTTCTTTATTATAGAAGAAATTCTGTAAAATATTTATTTCTTCCTTAAATATTTGGTAGAATTCACCAGTGAAACTTTCTAAACCAGTGGAGTTTTCTTTGAAGAATTTTAACTATAAATTTAATTACTTTAGTTATGTATTTCTTTCTCAGTGAGCTGATAGTTTACCACTTTTTTTTTCTCTGTGGATTTTTCTCAAACCCAATCAGTTGAATTCAGGTGTTTCTTCCCATCATGGTAACACAGACCAAGTAGTTAACACCTGTGCATTAGGGGCTGTAATAGCCACAGGAGGCTCTGATGTCTACATTGCTACTCAAAGGTGGCAGAAGCTAGCCTGTGAATGGTTGGAGCAACCAGGGGCGTTTTTCTCATTTGACACCCCTTCCCAAGCATATGGACTCAGGGACTTTGCTTTTGCCCTTAAAACTCTTTGCCAACCCTACACCCAGTACTGCTCTCCCCATAGGACAAAGTAGAATGGTGAACCAGGCCTCTGCACAACAGCAGTCAAGTTTGAGCTCCTCCTGGAGGAGTGGACCCTTTAATATAGTTCCTCATGTTGTGGTGACCCCCAACCATACGATTATTTTTGTTGCTACGGTTATGAATCGTAACGTAAGTATCTGTGTTTTCTGATGGTCTTCGGCAATCCTGCTAGCAGTTCTCAACTGTGGGTCGCTGCTGTAGAGCCTAAGACCATCAGAAAAGATGGATATTTACATTACAATTCACTAACAATAGCAAAATTATAGTTATGAAGTAGCAACGAAAATAATTTTATGGCTGGGGGTCACCACAACATGAGGAACTGTATTAAAAGGTCATAGCCTCAAAAAGGTTGAGAACCAATGTCCTAGAGTGAGCTGCTCATACCTGCATGCCCAGACTTTCCTGAGGGACTTTCCTGATTTTTCCACTAGAAGTTTAGGATTCCAGGAACCACCTCAATCCCAGCAAATTGGATGGCTGGTCATCTTCATTCCTGTCCCATTGTACTGGTCTAGTTCCCTGAGCTTTGTTCTAAAACAACTGAGGCAGAAGTTGAGGGGAACGGGCATTAGGAACCTGCAGAGAAGACAGAGCCTTCTCAACATGAATCAATGCTGCCTGTTCCTCTCAATAAACAAACTCTCCAAAGCCCTCCATGGGAATAGTACTGAATTCAGCATTGGAGATCCTGTGACTCTGTAGTCACAGTCATATTACTCTTTAGCTAGGATCAAGGTGAACCAGGAAGGAATGGAAGATAGGGTTGTGTGCACAGACCTGAAAGCTTAGAATAGAACCAGGTGGTTCCTCTTTCAACTTTTTGATGGAGATAATTGGTTAGGATAAAGTAAAAGAATTGTAGGGTTGCTTACCTTGACTGTCAGAGTCACTGATGCTCCAGAACACTGTTATGAGAAGTTTAAAGGGCCTACATGGGTATCCACCAATGCCCAGACTAAATAGTGTTGACTGAGGTGAAGAATTAATAGGGGCTAAAGCCCTAATCCTCTGAGGAAAAAAGTGTTCTTCAGAAAAGGGCTTAGGAATCATTACAACACTATGGAGAAAAAAGATAATCCACATAAGGGTAAAAGGCTGTCCTTCCACCTCTTTTAGAGCCAGGGGTAGGGGAGGGAGAGAGAGAGGTGAGAGGCTAGACTGGAGAAAAGAGAGGAGAGGGGAGAGAAGGGAGGGGAGGGAGGAAAAAAGGAAGGAAGGAGGGAAGGAAAGAGGGAAGGGATAAAGGGAGGGAGGGAAGAGGAAGGAAAGAAAAAGGGAAGGAGGGAGTAGGGAGGGAGGAAGGGAGGAAGAGAGGAGAGAAGAGAAGAAACATTGGAAGCACTGATTGGATTCCTCCAGCATGCACCTCATCTGGAGACCTAACCCACAACCTAGGTATGTGCCCTGAAAGGGAATAGAAACTGCGACATTTCAGTGTACAAGATGCTGCTGCAACAAACTGAGCCACAATGGCCAGGGCGAGTATTCCCTCTCTTAGTGAATCTTTCCCCTCAACATATAAACATACTGAGAAATCTCACTAACAAACATGTAACAAAACAAAACAAAAAAAAAGACAATAAAATGACAGCAGCAAAATAATCTAAACTCCAAAACAAAATATCTTAATTATAACCTTCTTCTATATCAATATATTTTAATTCACAACCAAAATTCTGTAGGGAATAACATGAAGTCTAAACTTCTGCATCCTAGCTTCTAACTTTCCATTCACCCCTAAGTCTACTGCAATTTATCTTGCATTAATAGAATTACACCAAAACAGCTCATACAAAAGTCACTGATGATCTTTCACTTGACCTATTTTATCCTCCTTTAATTTTTCAGTTGGGTGTCGATGTCATTCTATAAAAATTGGAATAGCTTTGGCTTTCAATTTCAGAAACCTCAATTAAAAAGGGAGTAAGGGAATTATAAGGGAATTTTATTCTCACATAACCTACCCACGCTCCTTAACAAGATGCCCAATATATGGCACCTCCATAGCTGTTAATCACCGGTACATAAATCAAGGACACTGTTGCTTTTCACTTTTAATTTTACCATGGTTGGACATGTTGGAAATCAAGGTTGTGTGTGTTACAAGAGCAAAATTGTACATGCCAACGTCTATTCAGAGGAAGTTTCTCCCCATGAATCTTTCTCTTTCTCAGACTGTGGGATCTCAGGGGGAAGGCAAAGGTGGGTGGGAAGAGATTAACCAAAGAACTTGTATGCATATATGCATAATCCATGGGCACAGGCAACAGTGAAGGTCAGGGGTGGGTGGGGGGGGGGGGGGGAAGCAGGGACAGGCTGGAAGGTGTCAATGGGGAAAATGAGGGGCATATGTAATACTTTCAACAATAAATATCTTTTTTAAAAGTCTAAAAAATTTCCCCAGACATCTTTTCATGGCCTCTAATAATACAGATTACATACTCACCTATAAATGGTTCAAAGACAAGGAAGATACCCATATTCTTTAAGGGTTCCTAAATAGAGAAAGTTCTATTTATCCATAGGACTCATGCCTACCTATAAATTCACTAAGAAACAGACCATCATGTGGACCCAGAATAATCAGCATTTACCCGGTTCATGTAGAAAAGGGATGCCAAAGTTCTGCCAGGAAGGGGCGGAGGGACAATGTTTGTTGGGTGGATAACCAATGATGCCATCTGTATACTTTTTACTGGATTTTCTGCTTCCAGTAAAATTGTTTAGGCCTCCCATCTTCTGCTTATCCCTTAAATATTCATATTGGTAGAGTTGTTCAGGGTCCTTCTCCAGTCATTTTCTCTTCCCAATTCTTCACTCACACTTTTGGGTCTGTCTATTTTTCTGCAAGAGGTAATATATCTGTGTGTGAACTGCTATCAGCCTGAATAGACAAGAGAGCAAACCTAATTACCCCTCTGCAAACACGCACGTGCGCGCACACATGCACACTCTCATATGCAGACATATTCACAGGCATAGATACTCTCACAAACATGCACACAATGACACAGATACAGACATGAACTCTTTCCAAATCTTTACTTTTTTGTAGCATCTGCTGAATATACTCAGCATAACCATAGAAGTATTCTCTTCATGCTGTCACACACAGACACAAACACAGACACAGTACAATGTCTATATTTATCTCAAGTGTTTTCCTTCTGGGGCTCATTTATACGTCTTCATATGCCACAGCCCATCATTTAAATAATGGATATTCTCAATGCCAATCCCTTTGTTCACTTTCTCAATATCTTCCGCAGACATCTTCATAACTCCAACACACAGGGCATGCTGTTTTCCTTCTGCCATGATTGCAACCACCGTATCCACTGCAGCAGGGTAAAGCTTGGCTCCAGGAGAGGTTAGGCCTGGACACATGATATTTGCTCCACTGAGCACAAATTTGATGGCTCCTTTATCAACTTGCTGTCGTGGCAGGATAAATGGGTATTTGTGTAGCAGCCTTAGCGTTGGATAAAAAGGCCCTTCTCTTTGTCGAAAAAATAGTAACTCTCCGTTTACGGTAAGGATTTCTATATGTTCGTGGCACCGCACTATTTTAACCGGATCTTTCTTAGGCATGATTTGATTAAGCCATGGTTCAATGCCTGGAAACTGTTCTATCAACTGGTTCTTAATACCCTTAATAACTGACGTTTTCAACTGGATGCAGTTGGACACGTTTTCTTTCTCGTCAAATTTCTTGAACATGATCCAAGGTGGCGGGGGCGACAGTAGGAAAGGGCCCGAAAGAGGAAAGAACAGAATTCACGAGGATCGGCAGAGGCGCTTACCGGAGGAAGGCCGGCAGAGACGGTCGCGGCTGCTGTCGTGAACCGGAAGAGAACGTGCTTTACAGCTCACCGTCGACCCTACTTTACGGCTTGCCGTAAACCCGACTTCCTTTCCTCCTAACGCCGTCGTGCTTTCTACGGCTGCTTTGTCGATGGATTCCCCGCCAAAGTGTTTGGTAACTGGGCGGCTTGAGAGGGAAGACGAGTTAGAGCGATGCTTCTCGTTTCGGTCTCTGTGTTTTGTTTATATTATTTGGGAACCCGAATAACCCATCCAGTTACCCGCGCCAGAAACCACGGGAGGCCTCCCGCCTGACACGCCTCTCCTCATACGTCACTACTAGGGGTCGAGACCTGTCTGTGTTCCTCTTCCGCGTAGCTCACAATCTTCCTCTGCCGTCGCGCCGTCTGACGTCATGGCGCTCTGGTCCGTGTAATTGCACGCCTTCCTGCCCGTCGCCGCTGAAGGCGACTTTGTCCCTTCTGAGCCTCTTAACCGCCTGCACTCGGAGTGGAGGGTTTGTCGCTTTGCGGCCAGAGAGGATGCAAATATTGTTGGGTTCCAATCGTTTTAAGCAAATCCAAACTCATTTTATGCCCCAGTACACGGTCCGTCTTGGTGAGTGTTCCCGGTGCTCCCGAAAAGATGCAGCTTTGTTTGGTTTCAGCGCTCTGTACAGGCCGGTATTGCCCTCTTGGTGGAGAAAGTTGTTCAGGTGTTTTTTTTCCTTACTGATTTGCTACCTGCTATCTGTTATCTGTTACTGACCAGCATATTGAGATTATTATTATGGTTCTATTTGTCCTTTAGCTTAGCTCTATCAGCTTTGGAGTCATGTCTTTTGAAACTCCATTTATTAGGTGCCTACCCTTTTAAGATTAATTGATTTTATCCATATCGATTTTACTTGTCATCCTAAGAAGGGAGAGGTCCACGAGAGCAGGAATTGTGTATTTTATCTCTGTATTCTTTCACCTAGTACAAGATCTGTTTCATACTATATACTATGTACACACTGAGTGCCTGATACAGGCATAAAATAATACTTCCTCTTCCCCAGGATCTGACCCCTTCTTTCCCTGACAGTGCTATATAAAAAGAATAAAGGCAAATGCTTGCTATCTGGACACTTCTCCCCAGTAAACATGCTTAACCTGGGAGTGTACTGCAGCAGGAATTAAAACAAGTGCTGGATATATAGTGGAAAGATAACATGTCCCCATTCTTGTGAGCTCACAGCACATGAGGATGTCATGTGTAATCGCCCCATTCTCAAGGCAAAAATCTGTATTAGTTTAGGTTCTCTATCTATGTGTGTGTGTTAATTATAAGAAATTGGCTCACAATTATGGAGGCTGAGAAGCCCCAATATTAATACTCAAGCTGGAGACTCAAGAGAGCCAGTGGTGTCATTCTGAGTCCAAAGGCTTGAGAATTAGGAGAGCTAATGGTGTAAATTCTAGGCCGAGTCCAGAAAAAGACCAATGTCCCCCTTCAAAAGCCATCAGGCAGAAGGAATATCTTTTTACTAGGGAAAGTCAGCTAATTTTTTGTATTCAGGCCTTCAAATGGTTGGATGATACCTGTCCACATTAGAGAGGGCAGTCTGCTTTACTCTACCAATTAATATGTTAACCTCAGCCAGAAACACCCAAATAATGTTTGACTAAATATTCGGACCAGCTACATTGACACAAAAAAATAACCATCACAAAAGTACACCATCTTAAACGAAGCAGCATAGAATGGGGTGTTTATGTGTGCTGACCCTGGAACCTAGGAAAGACTCCTGCTCTATCACTTAGAATCCTGAGAATTGCTGAATTGTCTGTTTCAGTTTATTCATCATGATTGATAACAACAATACCCATCTCCTGGGGGTGAGGGTGAGAATTGCTTGAATTAATATTCAGAACAATTGGGTTTTAATTATTCACATAGCTGTTATTAACATAAAAACGGTTTCATGAATATTTCAAAAATATCTTCACACAGGAGAAAGTAAAACTGGCTTTAGACTTGAGCTTTCCTATTTGTGGCTGAGTTTCTGATCTGCCTTCTGAGATTTCACTCTAGGTTTTCTATCTACCTGTGTGTGTGTATATATATTAATTATAAGAAGTTCAGTCATTTGAACCTGTGAAGAGTCACACCTTTCCAGATACATCTCTGATTATTTTACAAACAGCTAACCTTGCTTGTTACATATGGGTTTTTTGTGCTTATCTGTTATGGGGTGATTCTTTTCTTTTGTTCTTAGGGCTTGTCCCGTTGTTCTTATGTATGAATTTACCTACCTTGAAGTACTACACTATATATTAGAAGGATTATTTTCAACTAATAAGTAACTATTTTTAATCATACAATTATTTTCCTCAATTGTATTTCCTAAATAAATAAATCCATCTCTACAGTCACAAAATATTTTCCAAGCTTAGGTGAAGCACATTCTAAATATAGGTATTAGTTTATAATTTGCCAATTTTCTCTGTATCCATCTATAAATAATCAACAATAAAGGAATTATTTTAAAATGATGTCTATAAAAACAATTAGCCCTGCATTTTTTTAACTTCTCAAAGAAATATAAAACTATTTTTTTCACATTGCTTCAATTTATGAACTATTTTTGGAAATTCAAAATATTACTTGTATATTGTAAAAATAGCCTCACAATATTCAAAATGTTTTTATGTCTTCTCCCTCATTGCTCAGTTCCACAGGTAACTCTTCTAAGTTTCTCATCTACTCCAAAAATCTAAAATTTGAATCAGGATTCACATACCTGGGTTGCATTAATAGTTTCAAATGTTTCCCCTAATACAGCTTTGTCTGCATTTTGAGAAATGACCATTAGATGGCAGGAGAACCAAATTGAAGTCCACATGTGGTTCCCAAGGTTGAAGTACTACACATACTAAGCATATAGATGGGTAGTTAAAATGGAGTGTGTCTGTGTGTGTGTGTGTGGGGGGGGGGGGGGGAGTGTGTGTGCATGTGTGTGAATAGCCAGGAGAATCAGCCCCACATGGGAAGAGTGGGCAGGGGCTCCTGGGATCTTAGGTATTCTCATAGCCAAAGCAACCTCATGGGAGGATTAATCCCAGGACTAGAAGGTCGGAACCCTCTCTTCCCATATGAACACCCATCTCTCACTCTGTACCAATTCTTACCTTTCCTGGTCTCAGTTTCATGATTATCCCATGAGGACTGTACAGGGAACCACATGAGCCCAGCTCAAAGTGGACCTGGCCCCTGGGTGATAGTGACAGGTACATTCAGGGGCACATTGTGGCTTTCCTTTACATGTAGACTTGAGCAGAGCGTCCAGCCTCATGTCCATGGGGGGGGGGGAGGGGCACACACAAGGTCTTGTGAAATGCCACCTCATGGTATGCACAATGTACCAATGGTCTCCAGCCTGGCCAGTACCACTGGACCTCAGTGGCCACTGCTTTGAGAACCTACAACCTCAGGAACCCCACTGCATTGTATTACCCCACTCCAGCCAGTTGGGCCAGAGGCCTGGGAACATGAGAGTTATGGAACAGCTCCTGTCCCGCTATCCTTGTTCCCAGACACTACATGAGGGGCCAGTTCTGAGCATGGCTAGGACAGGAGTCCTAGAGGAGGCAGTAGACACTGAGTCCGGGCAGGGAGAGATTCAGGCTGCCCTTCAAACTCACAAAAATTTGCCCCCTCCCTGTTTCCTCTGGCAGGAGCCCAGGACGAGTTCCTGTCTGTCCCTGACTGATGTAATGGGGCAAGAGGGAGTCCTGGGAGGAGGTGACCCCAAAATGAGAGCAGAGTAAGAATTTGGAGTAATTACTGCTATTAGAGAACCCTATGAGATTGGTGAGTCCACCCCATTTTAGAGATGAGCAGTGGTACTGACTTCTGTGCATGGCCCACAAATTTTCAGTCGCATGTACATGTTCGCCCACACATGGTATTTTGTAGAAGAGCCACACTCAAGGGGCCAAAGAGCCACAAGGGGCCTTGCGAGCCGTGATTTGCCGACCACTGGGCTAGAGTAACATACCAAAATGAGAATTATATTGCCTTGTGTGGACGAAAGGAGCCATATGCTAACCTGATAAGCTCAGGGGAGGCCTGTGTGGCAGTCTTGCTAACTCAGAGACCTAAAATAACCACAAAAGATGGTCTGAAAATTAAATATTTTAACTTCAAAGGTTATAGTGGATAGTTATGTCCTAGGCTAATATTTTTCCTGACAAAGATCAACTTAGATGTTTCGTGAGCTCATTTGTCTTTTTGCCTCTAAGATAACATATCTGTGAGATGTCTGGGTAACTTGTAACTTCCTTTTTTTTTTTTTTTCCTGAGCCCCTGGGGCACAACCAAATGTGGTGGGCGCCAGGGCAAATGCCTCAAATTACTTCATTATCATGTTAATTGTTCCTGTATCCACCTAAGTATGTGTCCATCATTCTACTTTTATCCAGTGCCAGGGGTTTCCCACCGCTTTGCTTTATTCCACCTCCTTAATCCATCTCCAATAAATTTCATGTAACCCACCTACGTCCCTCCTTTGATTGCAATGTATAAATACAAATGTAACCCGCAATATATAAATACAAATGTAATTCTTCGGAGCATTATCTCAATTCCTTGAGGTTCTGCTTCCCGACATATGTCGACAGTTTGGCTCAAATAAACTCACAAAAATTCGCCAAAACCGGTTTGGCTCAGTGGATAGAGTGGACTGAACGGTCCCAGGTTCAATTCCGGTCAAGGGCATGTACATTGTTGCGGGTACATCCCCAGCAGGGGCTGTGGAGGAGGCAGCTGGTCGATGTTTCTCTCTCATCGACATTTCTAGCTCTCTATCCCTCTTCCTTCCTCTCTGTGGAAAATCAATAAAATATATTTTTTTAAAAACTCACAAAAATTCTTTATATGTTTCAATGTTTTGTTTTGTTTTTCATTAACACTTCAAAATTGAGAGGCCACTAAGGTTGTGCCTTTTCTGGTGGGAGGAGGGGCCTGGTGCAGCAATGTATCTTTCATTTTGGAAGGGGTTAGCTTGACATGCCCTAGACTACCAAACCTTAGACCTGTTGAAGGTCATCCCTGTTGCTCAACCTTGATGTGCTTTCCTGAGAGGAAGGGGTTTGTGCCTGGAAGAAGAGGGAGCAGGCAGGCAGCCAGGCCATTTCCCCCATCTGTCCCGGATAGCAGACCCACTGTTCTGCTCAAAAGCTAGGTTATGGGGCAAGAAAGACAGGGGCATGGATGGGGCCAAGACCAGGGCAACAGCCCCACAATGAATAGTCTGTGTAGACTGTAATGGGTAGCCTTATAAATATAACTTGGTAGAATTCTGCAGGCATTTCTTCTGGATACATTCCTAGGTTCAGCACTGCTAGGTAAAGATTGCACCTTTGGATCTGTGGGACTTTATGCACTCTCCCAGAGAAAACCGTCCTTTCACAGTTCTCTCCAGGGGATCTGGTGCGGCCTCTGCTTCCTCACATTGTCCCCAAAGTTGGTTATCACCTGACATAAAACCTGCTAGTGATGGTGACATGCTATCTAGCAGTGTGTGTCCTCAGCAGGGAGGTGGGCATTCTGGAACATAGGCCATGTGCCCTGCTTGCTTGCACTGTATGTTTCTTTTCTGGACCTCTTTAAAACTGATTTCTGAGAGTTTCCATTTGTCTTTTCACTGGGGATGTCCTTTTTGTTTCAGATGGTCACCAAAGCTGGCGAGCACAGCAGCAGTGGTGGGAGCTTCTCCTGCCTCTGTGGCGATGCTAAGGCCATCCTCCCAGGGCTTCCGGACTACGAGAGGGCACAGCCCAGGTGCCTGTGCATGAATTTCATGCACCGGGCCTCTAAATATATATAAAGGCTTCAGTTTTCACATATAATCTTTTTTTTTTAATCTGGGATTTCTCTTTTAAATAAAAAGTGCTATTTTGAATTTTAAGAAAAGCAAAATGAGTCCTTAAAATATGTGGGCATACATAAAAGGCCACATTGTATGATTCCATTTATATGGATAATCCAGACTAGGTAAAGAAACAGGCAAAACAGGTTAGCTGGTGCTGGGAGCTAAGAGAAGGCAGTGATCACTGGGTATGGGCTTTCCTCTTGGGGAAATGTAAACAGATAGTGGGGCTGGCTGCACAGCATAGGGAAATACTTAATGCCTCTAAATTGCAGTTTAAAACGATTAAAAGGTTCATAATACTGAATCTAAATTTTAACAAAATGGGTTTTTTTTAAGAATTTGATAAGAAAAATGAAAAAAAAAAAAAGTGGGTACCACTAGAGGGGAGAGGAGGTCAGCCCTGGTGCCAGATATAGCTCAGGAGCTGGCGTGGAGGGAGGTGAACAGGTGCAGCTCCTGTTCCTCATGTGGGAAGACAGGCCGCTCTCGGCTCTTCTGGAGCAGACTCTAGCTCTGGAATTGCTGTTAGAATTGGTCGTACACTCTGCTCTGCCACTGGAGGCAGCATTGAATCTAATGACAATAGTGCCTCCAGCTGTATGCGGGCTTAGGTCCTGTAGTTATACAGCTGGATCTGGCTCTGGAGATGCTACAGGAACTGATGCTGGAGCCAAAGCCACTCTGGAGATGGTGCTGGAGCTGCAAGAGGAGGAGAGGTCACCTGCATGCCTCTCCAAAGACAGAACATATCCCAGGATTTTCCAGAAAAGGACATCTTCCCAGGCTGAGTCCTCCTAATGGGTGGTCTGAGGCCACTCTGCTCCTGTCCCTACATCAACCTATGGCAGCTCTCCCTGAGTAGCCCCAACATCAACCCTTCCCCTATGCTCACCTTTCCACCTCACCCTACGGCTCTGCCTCAGTGGGCTCCTGGTCACCCAGCTGGGTCAAAAGAAAGGAGGCACGGTGCTCCAGGTCTGGGCTGGGCATGCTGAGCTGCATGTCAGTCAGAAACTGGTTTAGGCCAGTGAGGTCCACATCCTCCAGAGGCTGCCCCCCACTGGCCTCAGCCCCAAACGTCCCCCACCATGGAGACAGTAGCCCTCTCTCTTGACCCAAAACCCACTCCTTTAGTTTGTTCCTGGGGTCTGTCATTCTTCTGACGATTAGGGCAGAGGAATCCATATCTAGAGAAGGCCAGCAAGGTGTCACATTGAACATCCTGTGTCCTCTACCTGCTGTGATGTCCAGTGACACTGGCTGATGCCCCAACTGGAATGGAAGCAAGGGAGGGTAGGGATTTTAGTCTGTTCCATTCATTGAGCTATGTCAAGTGTCTAGAAAAAAGCCTGCACAGAGTAGGCACTTAATAGATCTATTGTTAATGGAATTAATCTCAGATATCTGAGTGTACCTGAGGCCCCTCAGCAAGCCCCTAAGAGTCCTTGCTCTGGCTACACCAGCACAGGGGACTGCCCAGATAGAATGTGACACCTCCTTTACAAATGGGAAGCAGCTTGTCCCAGGCCACAAAATAAGGAAGGCTTGAGGCAGAGAGCTTCATGGGGAAGAGAAAAATCTAAAACCACAGTCCTTAGCAGCCCTTTCCACAGGGCCAAGCACAGGGTCAGCGCTCTCCATGGCTTATCCCACTCAGTCCCTGACAATAGCCCTCTGAGTTTGGTCCTCATAGTACCCCAGTTTCCACACAAACAAAGTGAGGCTCAGAGAGGTGAAGTGACATTCTCAAGACACCCAGCTAGGCGCTGTAGTGGGGGAGAAGCACCCACCTTTTCCACAGCAGGTGTGACCTGTTGGGTGCTGGAGAAGTTTCAGCAGATAGACCTGGAGGCAGGACACAGTAATCTGCTCTGGAGGACAGACATCGGGTACTTTACCAGCTTTTGCAGTGTGTCTGCCTGCATGGTCCCCACCCTGCAAGTCTCATCCAGGTTCAGGGATAACTTCTTTTCTTTTTAAAAAAATATATTTTATTGATTTTTTTTTACAGAGAGGAAGGGAAAAGGAGAGTTAGAAACATCGATGAGAGAAACACCGATCAGCTGCCTCCTGCACACTTCTCCTGGGGATGTGCCCACAACCAAGGTACATGCCCTTGACTCGAATTGCCACAAGCTGACACTCTATCCACTGAGCCAAACCGGCTTCAGCGGGATAACTTATTTTCACGCTGGAGTAAGACAAAAGAGGGGCGACGGATCAAACAATATAAACAGTACCAGATGCAAAAATATTGGAGGCCATATTGTGAAGTGAAAGCAGTCTATAAAGAATGTTCTGATATTCCCACAAATAAGTAATTTTGTGAGGGTGTTTTTTCACAGTAACTGAATAAATCAATTAGAGGGTCTCACAGCCATCTCCCACCTCTGAGCTGCTCACATCATCAAGGAGATGGAGGCTAATAATTAAAGGTACCAGGTGTTCAGAGGCAGGGCCACGCCCAGAATGACTGACCCCTTCCCTGCCCCAGTTACTCCAGCGAGCCCAGTGGGCACAGCCCGTCCCCCTGGTGGTCAGCCCCAGCACTGCAGCAGCAGGCTGGAGACAACAAAACACACCATTGGTTGGAGTCATCCAGGCAGTGGGATCCCAGGCCCTGGGTGGAGGGGGGCGGGGGGGGGGCCTAGGGGGCGGAGCGGGGGGAGGTGAATGAGAGAGACCTGGAATACTCTATGCCCCCAGATTCCGTCTATTATCGTGGCCATGGGGTGCCCGGTTCCAGTGCTCAGCCAGGGCAATGACTCCGCCCAGTTCCACCTGAGGACCTGAGGCTCCAGCAAGGGTGTTCCTGCCCCTGGTCCCCAAGGAGCGGCCCAGTGCCCTGCCCCGGCCTCCAGGCCGCCCTCTCCCATGCAGCTCAGGGTGTAGAAAGCATTACCGGCCTCAGTGCAAAAGGTCATCGAGAAACAAAGCTCTACACACTCCTAGGGACCTGTGGAACCCTCAGGATCCCTGCCCTAAGCACATCCAGGTGTAGAAGAGGAATCTTATCCTGGAGGCCCCTCCCCGTAGGGTGGGGGGTCGGACCTACCCTAGTCCCAGGTGCCCAGAGCGGTGCCCAGAGCGCCCTAGACGGGGTCCTCTAGGGACTGCCCTGGGGATGGCTCTGCCGACCCTGAGACCCTGGGGACCCCTGCCCATCTGCCTGGCTTGAGGACTGGGGACCTGCCAGGACCTCAATGCACAGCGCGAGCTCGCGCACCCAGCTTCCTAACGTCCAACTTTCCCAGGACATGGGGGCGTGTCCCCTGGCCCGGGGGGCGCGGTTCGCTACCTGGACACCTCAGCGCCCCCGACCAATCGGGGCCCCCGCCGCAGGCGCCGCCCCCGCCGTTGAGATGTCTACTCGCCGGCCACCTCGGAGCCGCCAGCCAATCTGGAGCCCGCCGCGGTGGCTCACCTGCAGAGCAGCCTGGCAGCCGCAGAAGCCGCTCCGAAGGATGGAGAAGATTCCTCTTCTGGGCCTGGGCACCTGGAAGGTGAGGCGGCCTTGGGGTCCAGGAGAGGCGGCGCCTTTCCTTACCGAGGTTCGCCCTGATGTGGAGGGGACACCCGCAGGGACAACCTGGGGGACTCCTGCCTGGACGCCCCGCAGAAACCCGCGGGGACACCTGCAGACCCCAGCCCAGCTAGTCACCTATAACTCCCGGGGAGGCTTTCTGTGTTGGAAAGATGGAACTTGTAGATCCGCAGATGATCTGGAAATGGGGGTTGTCTCTCTGCTATTGCATATTGCAGCCAAATCATAATTATTCAGAAATAACTTTTGGGAAAGCCCAGAAGAAAAGATTGTCAGGCTTGGGTATAGACAGAAAAAGTCGCAGTCACCTGACTAGATCAGAGGCAACTGTTACTGGAAAGTGGTATCAAAAAGATAAAGGAATCCGGGCATTGCCACCTTGGCTTTAAACAGGAACTTTGTAACTTCCTGTCCCCTGTGTAAAACCTGATAGTGGAGCACCTTGAACTTGGGAACTTTCTCTCCTTTGGCTTTCTAACCTGCCAGTGCTTTGAGGCTTGGCACTAATTTTCAAATGTGCTTTTCTTCTTCTTTTCTTTTTTTTAATGCAATCTTTGATTTTAAAAAATATGTTCCTGTAAGAAGTCACCTAGGAAATGATTAGAATAGGAATTAGAATGATCAACCCCCCACTCATCTAAGTATTATTTAAATTATTTCTTCTATCCCCTTAACCACTCTTAGAGGCCAAGGGTGTGGTTTCACTGGTGGTTCTCAGCATCTAGCCAAGGCCATGCATTTGGCAGCCGTTCAAAAAGCACTCTATCGATTTAATTGTCTTGATTTTAATTCTTTTTTTAAATATATATATATTTTATTGATATTTACAGAGAGGAAGGGAGAGGGATAGAGAGCTAGAAACATTGATCAGCTGCCTCCTGCACACCTCATACGGGGGATGTGCCTGCAACCAAGGTACATACCCTTGACCGGAATCGAATCTGGGACCTTTCAATCTGCAGACCGACGCTCTTTCCACTGAGCCAAACCGGTTTCAGCTTGACTTTAATTCTTGTATGCACTGTTTCTGCACACAGCTGGGTGCAGGAGTCCACAAGTTCTCACACACAGGGTAAGGAAATGCTGTGAAAGCTGTTGGACTTTAGTGGAATAGAATTGGATTAATCCTAATCACCTTTCCCTGATCCATGCCAAGGCTTCATTTTATGTATTTTTAATCTTCTAAGATTACAAGTAAGCCGTTGAAATCTATCGCTCAAGAAGTGCTGCATAACAACCAACCACAAAAGCTGGGTGGCTTACAAGCACCTAATTTATCACTGCTGCAGGTGGTCAGCGGGCAACTCCTTGGGTCTTCTTCATTCTGCAGGCGGCGCCCGGGGAAGTGACAGAGGCGGTGAAGGTGGCAATCGATGTGGGATATCGGCACTTTGACTGCGCCTACCTGTACCACAATGAGAGTGAGGTCGGAGCTGGGATCAAGAGCAAGATTGAGGAGGGCGTGGTTCGGCGGGAGGACCTGTTCATCGTCAGTAAGGTAGGACTGTGCCCTCAGGGAGAGCAGGTGCAGGCTGCTCGGGGCTTGGGTGTTGAGACTGCTGACGTAGCACGGGGATGGTTTTCCAGGCTCCCATAGAGCTGCTGACTTCATTCATACTGGGACCAGACCTGACAAGGGCTTCTGCAGCTTTATGCACTTGCTGGGAGTGGTGCAGGTGAAGGGGCCAGGGACAGTGTGACAGGCAGAAGGGATAATTAGAGCAAAGGCAGGAGGCAGTGTGGTGCTGATGAGGGTGGGGGTGTGAGCGTTGGGACCTTTGAGAAGCTTGTTGTTTCTGGACTGAGCAGTGTTGGCAGCGAATAGAAGGAGCGGTGAGGCTGGAGCCGATAAGGAACCTGATTACAGAAAATCTGATCACCATTTCAGGAGTTCTCTTCTCACAGACAAAGGAGCACCAGTGAAGGTTTTACCTTCTGTTGAGCAAGAGTTATTCTGAATAAAGGAGACTGTGAAGGTGAAAGCAGAGTGCCTTTAAACAGGAGGCAGAAGGCAGGAGACCTTAACGGCAGTGTTGGTGGGAGAGGTGACAGCACTAGACAGATAGCAAGGACATGGCTGGGAAAGACCATCGGGAGGTGGGCCCTGTAAGAAATGCTGGTGACAGCTGAAACCGGTTTGTCTTAGTGGATAGAGCATTGGCCTGTGGACTGAAAGGTCTCAGGTTCAATTCCTGTCAAAGGCATGTATCTTGGTTGTGGGCACATCCCCAGTAGGGGGTGTGCAGGAGGCAGCTGATTGATGTGTCTCTCATTGATGTTTCTAACTCTCTATCCCTCTCCTTTCCTCTCTGTAAAAAATAAATAAAATATATTTAAAAAAAGAAAAAAGAAAAGAAAATGCTGGTGACAGACCGAGAGTGGAAAATTAAAGAATCCCTTTGCTTTTGACTTTGAAGAAGAATATTAAGACCATTAGGCCAGGAGCAGTGAGTTCACATGGTGGCTGTCCTTCCCGAGCCTGGCTCAGTAACCCGGCTCCCTTGTGGAAGAGGAGACAGTGAGTTTCACAATCTCCCGGGTGATTGCCACATCTAAATTTTCCGTAATTGTGCCCTCACTGGTTTGGCTCAGTGGAGAGAGAGTCGGCCTGTGGACCGAAGGGTCCCAGGTTCGATTCTGGTCAAGGGCATGTACCTTGGTTGCAGGCACATCTCCAGGAGGGGGTGTGCAGGAGGCAGCTAATCAATGTTTCTAACTCTATATCCCTCTCCCTTTGTCTCTGTCAAAAATCAATAAAATATATTTGAAAAATAAATGAATTTCTGTAATTGCAAGCTTTGGTGCTTTTCTTTGTTACCTGGATATACTGCTGTAACTCAAGGTCCAGGTGACCCTAGCCAAGGAACCCAAATCTCTCCTGATCCTCCAATTAGGGAGGTGGGTACCTATGGTTCCTGTGGCTAGCCAGCAGAGAGGATGTTTGCTCCCAGATGGATCATAGCCAGCAGAGGATATGTGCTCATTATTCCTGAAATTTAGAAAAATCTTGGAAATACATTTTTTTTAAATCATTGATACACTCACCATCTAGAAAGTGCTGTTGTTAACAATATGATGTATTCTAGTTTCTTTTTTGTAAATATACTGTACCTGTAATTTGGTTTCATATATTTTATCCTCTTTCTTTTATTTATCTCTTTTGTTGTTGTTGTTTTGTTTTGCTCTTGCTGCAATGGTGCCTAAATAGTATATTAAAGGGAACAATGAGGAGAAAACAAATTACAAACTTTTTACTTCACAAAGGGTGTAGATGGACATGCTAAGTATAAGGCCGTGTGTGTTAACTTACTTACCTAGTGTAATCTGCAGGATAATGAGGCCCTTATAACAGAAAACCTTTAACACAGAGTCTGTTCAAGTGGGAAACTTGATATATAAATTCTTCTGATTTTTTCTCATACCTTCTCTGCCCATGGGGATGGATGGAGATATATATATGTAATATATATATATATATATATATATATATATATATATATATAGTATCAGCAGTGGATCCAAATAACCAGACAGCTCTCCCACCAAATAATTTCACAGTGTTCCTCCTTCTCCCCCCACTTTCCCTGAGGAGAAATCAGGTAGGAGGAGCTGAGCTTTCCCTCCCTGTGGACGCCCTGGACCATTGGAGAATAATGTCACAGTCTGCTGTATTTATGACCACTTGATCTTAGATGCTGTTTGTCTTCCAGATTCTGGGTTTGTGGGACCCAGGGGCAGATGTGTCAACACTGGCTCTGTGGCCGATTGTCACAATTCTCCTCTCCCTTATAGCTCTGGTGTACCAGCCACAAGAAGTCCTTGGTGAGACCAGCCTGCTCCAACACTCTGAAGGCCTTGAAGTTGGAGTACTTGGACCTCTACCTCATCCACTGGCCCATGGGTTTCAAGGTACTGCCCATGCCTGGTGAGAGCACCCACTGGCAGCTTCTTTCCTGGCCATGCCCCAGTGGGTGGTGTAAAGAGCTGGGCCAGCAGCCAGGGAACAGAGAGTCCAGGGCTGCATCGGCCACACACACACATTCCATTATCTCTGGGCCTCCACTCAGGAGAGGCTTGGCCTCGAGGACCTCTAACCAATTATGGTTTTTGCTTCTAAGCCAGTCATTTCTTCTTCCAAGCCAAGAGAGCAGTCCACTTTTTCCACAGGGTTTTAGGGGAAAACAGGTGTCCGGACAGAGGACACACTGCTACCCACAGCTGCCACTCATGTCATTTCCCGGATTTTAGGGAGTCCCTTGGCCCCGTCTCCTTGTGCAGGTTATGAGATCTTTGGAGAGTGAAGGCTGCTTTGCCATATGGGAGACGCCTGCTTATCCACCTGCAGCAGGTCCAGAGGGTTCTGGAGGGAGATTATTTCTCCATTTGGGGTTATTCTCTCCATTTGATAGTGCTCACACCCTCTCCCCTCCCCTGACACACCTTACACCCTGCTCAGATGCTTTACCAACCTCAGTCGCAGTTTAGTCCTGGCCAGGATGTCCCTGTGCAACGGCCCCAGGCCTAGATGACATCCTGGCTGACCCAGGGCTCAGGCACACAAGTGGCACCGCGATTCCTGAGAGAGGATGCTCTCCCTACGCTGGGGTGGATGGTGGCTGCACTGGAATCTCCCACGTGTGCACCTTGTTGGAGGAGCTCATGGTGTGTGTTGAGCTGACAGGTTTCTTTTAAAATTAACGGACAAAACCCACTTCATTCCTAGCACAGCTTTACTCTCAGGCTTTGTATTTAATTTCAATAAAGGACGTAGCAACTGCATGTTAGTCACGCTGCTAGTGGAGAACAGAAGATGCCCAGAAAGTGAAATGAGAGAGGATGATTCAGAAATGATTTCTGCCTGTAAAATCTGTCTGTGCACCCAGAGAGCAATGGGTAGGTGATGTCAGTAGCTGTGTCACACGTACTGTCAGTGGTCCGTGTTCTTTTAGCATTGAGCCAGGCACTTTTTCAGGCACCTGACAGGCATTGTTCATTAATCCTCACAACAATTATGTGAGGCAGGTGCTGTTAACACCCCCATTGCACAGAGGGTACCATTGAGGCACAGTAAGACTTAGTGTCTTTATCGGGGCCCAGAAGCGGATGCTCAGGCAGACATGGGTTACTGTGCCTCACCCTCACCTTCTAGCAGATCCCTGACTGGCTCCTGGTGGTCGGCAGCCCTCAAGGACAGGGACAAGTAGCACTTGCACATAGAGGTCTGGACAAACATCAACATGGGAGGATGCTTTGACATGAGACATTTAGTTGCTTCATCATGAAAATTCCTAAAAAATGTGCATCGAGCTGCAATTTTAGACATTGTTGCCACAATTGCTTAAGAGAATTTTTGAAGCCCGTTGTATTCTGGCTTCAATATCTCTCACCATGATGTAAATTCTAAGAAAAGCAGAAAAGAGCCTCAGAATGGCTCTTCTTGGAAGAAAGTTGACTGAGCTCTTAGGATAAGAAGGCAAGACCCCTTGCCCTCCTTTTTACCTGAAATTGCTAAACAATGTTCTGACAACGGACAAGGGTCCTAGGTCCTTCTTTCCTGACATGAGAGGTGGGCGATGAACTCCCAGTCTGTTGGGAACTTTGCTGGCCACCAAGCCACCCAACCCCCTATCTTATAAAGGAGGAGATAGGGCATGGAGACGGGAAGTCACCTGGCGAGGACTGTGCTCACACCCAGACCTTCTGGCCTAGCATTCTTTCTCCATGTCTTGATTCTCCCTCCATCCAGTCTCCTGTTTAGAGGGTGACTACCAATAAGCCCCCACTAAGCTCCTGTCTTCTTGTTCTGACAGCCCGGAGGGAAAGAGCTGCCTCTGGACCGCAATGGCATGGCAATTCCCAGTGACACTGATTACCTGGACACCTGGGAGGTAAGCTGAGCTGGCCAGCCACATCTTCCTCCTATTGATGGGCCTCAAATGGGAAGCCGGGGATCCTGAGCTCCTTGCGTTCAGAGATACCAGGTGGTCTCCTCACAAGGCAGGCGTGCAGCACAAAGGGACGCCTGTCTGTGGGACTCAGCCCAGTTTCCTCTTGTTCATCTCTCTGAAACGTGTATTTTAAGGATAACTTACCCAGACCTCCCTTTATTCTTAAATGTTAATCTTTGTATTGAAAAACATCACATGTTCACTACAGAAACTACAGAAGAGTATAAAAAGAAAATAAAGAGTCCATTTTCCATGGCCACTTTATAATTCCTTTAGCTCTTTTGTAAGCATTTCAGAATAAAAACTTGGACAGATGGTGACATTGGGGTGTATCTTGGAGATGCATGGAGGAAGGGACCACATTTCTAACCTGCTGCCAGTGTCTGCACAAGAAGGGATGAGGCCTGAAGGTAGAATGTTGAGCGTGGGAGTCAGGGGAAGTGGCAGGTGTGAGTTGTGGCAGTGAATTGACGGTGTGGCAGAAGGAGAGGAGGTTCCTGCTGACTCTGCTCACCAGGTGCCTATAATCTTACAAATCAACATAAGGGTGAGTGTGAGGCATGGGAAGAAAGCAGGTTCACAATGGAACTTGCTGAGTTTAAGGAGATGAGACGCTGGAGCCACTGGTGTGAGATGAACAGGTTCAGGGGTGGGAGTGCCTGAGGTCATCCAGGCAGAGGGAGGAGGGGAGCACAGTCAGGGAGGAGCTCCCAGGTCAGGCTATTCTCGAAATGGGCGAATCGACCTCACTTCACAGAGGTTAACTGAGGTGTCTGATCTGTCGGGAACAGTGCCCGGGGAGCTGCAACCCTTTGGTCACAGGGTCACAGACACTGCCTCTCCTGAAAGGCATGGCTGCAACTTTGGGCTGTTTGTAGCATGAGTGAGGTCAGGGTGACCATGCAGTGCACCCTGACATTGGCCACCAGCCCTGTGGCCACCAGCCCTATGTCCACCGGACTCATGCTGACTACTTTGCCTGACACCAGGCCATACTCTTCCTGAATCTGAAGCTAGTCTGGCTTGCTGGCCAATGGACAGCACAGAGTAGGGATTCTGCTCTCAAGTCCCTTACAAGGTAAAAGGTGGTGAGTTAGAATGATGGTGCATAATCATGCCGAGAAAGATGGTCATTTGGGTAGAAACTGGGTGAGCAGATACAGTCCGCAGTGGACATCCTTGCTGATATCTTATCAACAGACATTCAGAGTAACAGAAATAACAGGTACATGTGCTGAGTGTGAACTAAATGTCCTGTGTTCCTTATTTGATGTAATCCTTAGCCCTGTTTCATGGTAAGGTTGTAACCCACTTGACAGATGAGAAAATTGAGGCTTAGTGAGGACATATAATGATGAAATGGGGGAAAACTTCAAGTACAGAAATGCTTATAACACATGTAGTCAAATATTTTAAGATATTTTAAAATTTTTGGCAGAGCCAGTTTTAGGATACTATGTAAAGGATTGGGGATCTCAGATTATTAGTGGAGTGGACAGAGCCCATGCACCCAAAACAATTACATTGTTCTCTCCAGGCCATGGAGGACCTGGTGGTTGCAGGGCTGGTGAAAGCCATTGGGGTGTCCAACTTCAACCACGAGCAGCTGGAGAGGCTTCTGAATAAGCCCAACTTGAGGTTCAAGCCATTGACTAACCAGGTGAGTGTGGATGGCTAAGCTGCTTGAAAGAATGGAGTCAGCTTTTTATCTGTTGCCTCCACATGGTTACACTGGAGCATGAAGTAGGCATTTTCTCCTGAGGCTGTCAAGTCATGACTATGGCGCTAGTCATTTTGCCTCAGTGGATAAAGCAGGGTCTCGGGTTTGATTCCAGTCAAGGACATATACCTTGGTTGCAGGTTTCTGGTCCTGGTCAAGGTGCGTGCAGGAGGCAACCAATCAATGTGTCTTTCTCACATTGATGTCTCTCCCTCTCCCTTGCACTCTCTCTAAAAATCAATGGAAAACTATCTTCCGATGAGGATTAACAACAATGAAGAAAGGCATGACCGTGGAACAGTTGGGCAAATGGCAGGTGTATAGGCAAGACCCTTTTAAAAGGCTCATCAGGTGAGGTGGAGTCCTTGGAAGGCAGGGTTTTCACTTCAGCTATGGAGTGGTCACCAGGTATGCTCAGAAGTGGCAAAGGGTACAGTCAGTCCTGATGCCTCATTAATGATGGTCAGAGGTGGTACTGGCTTCCTGGGGCCTCACCAGGGACCCTCCCTCTGCAAGATCACAGCCTCTGTGAGACTTTAATGTTGAGAAATGACTTGTGAGGAAAGGGTTACAGTGTTTTCTAGACTAGCTGCCTTCCTAAAAAGGGGCCCTTATTTTACTTAAACTTGTATTAACATGTTGTGTGCCGTACATGCAAAAAAGTGCACACATAAGAATGGAGCTTGATAAGTTCTCAGAACTGGACCTCGCTCTGGACCAGCCCTCAGAGCAGGGGTGGGGGACTTCTGGTCCGCGGGCCATATAAAACCCATGGAATCATTTGGTCTGGCCCTGCCAAGGCATGAGGGGTGAGTTAATTAAATGTTTGTCTGAATACAGCAGGTTAATTTTTAAGTAGATCATTTTGTATATGGCCCTCGAATAAATATCCAAGTGGCCCTTGGCAGAACAAAGGTTCCCAACCCTGACCCAGAGGAAGAAACAACTAAGAGCCCCTGCCCTGCTGCTTTCTAGTCCCTGCTGCTTGCCAAGGGCAGCCACTGTTCCAAGTTCTGACAGCACAGATTGGCCTTTGGACTTTACATAGAGAACTAGAGGCCCAATGCACAAAATTCATGCATGGGGGCGGGGGTGTCCTTCAGCCTAGCCTGCACCCTCTCAAATCTAGGACCCCTTCAAAGATGTCGGACCACCCATTTAGGCCCAATACTACTGGGATCGGGCCTAAACAGGCAGTTGGACATCCCTCTCACAATCCAGGACTGCTAGCTCCCAACTGCCCTCCCCTGCAGGCCTGGTCCTCCCCAACTGCCCTCTCCTATTGGCCTGGTCTCCCCTAACTGCTCTCCCTACTAGCCTGATCGCCCCCAACTGCCCTCCCCTGCAGGCCTGGTTCCTCCCAACTGCCCTCCCCTGCAGGCATGCACCCCCCATCTGCCCTCCATTACAGGCCAAACCCTCCCCCCATAGGCCTTGGTCCTCTCTCCAACTGCCCTCCCCTGCAGACCTGGTCCCCCCTGTCAATTGCCCTCCACTACAGGCCTAGTCGCTACACCCCAATTGCCCTCCACTGCAGGCCTAGTCTCACTCCCAACTGCCCTCTCCTGCAGGTCTGGGTCCCCCCCAACTGCTCTCCCCTACAGGCCTGCTCCCCCAATTTTCCTCCTCTGCTGACCTGGTCTCCCCCAACAGGCCTGCCCCCACAATTGCCCTCCTCTGCTGACCTGGTCTCCTCCTCTGCTTGCCCAATCACCCCTAACTGCCCTCCCTGCTTGCCTGATCACCCACTAGTGCTCTCCCCTGCAGGCCTGGGTCCCCCCCAACTGCCCTCCCTTGCTGGCCTGGTCTCCCCCAACTGCCCTCCTCTGTTGGCCTGGTCACTCCTAACTTCCCACAATTGCCTTCCCCTGCAAGCCATCTTGTGGTGGCCATCTTGTGTCCACGTGGGGGCAGCCATCTTGTGTCTTGGTGTGATGGTCAGTCTGCATGTTACTCTTTTATTAGACAGGATGTGACATGCGATGGGCTTTCCTTACTCAGCATTGTATGTCAGGTCCTCCTGTATCCAGGTGTGATTTGCCCATCCTTGTTTCCCTGTGGTATTCCATCCCGTGACTATCCTCTCAGTTGGTGATGGGTACATGGGTAGTTTCCAGTGTAGGGATATTAATAATAGAACAGTATGTTCTATTCTTTTTATAAATAAACTTTTTCAATGGAGGTATAAACAAGTACAGAAGAGTACACGGATCTTAAAGGACACTGCTCAGTGAATTTCCACAAGGGACCAGACTCAAGTCCTCAGCCTTCTGGAAGCTCTTCTGGTCACCTCCCATGAGGAGTGGCCAGTGTCCTGACCTGCAGCCTTGCTGAGCTCCCCTGCTTTAAAACCTCACAGACTGTTCCTGTCTGTGCATAGGCATTCAGTTCTGTGTCGACTTTTGTTGAGTGGCATTTTAAATCATGGGGAGAGGTGTGGCCTGGTCTGTGGGGTGAGGAGGGGCTGCAGGGTCTGTTTCCTAAATACGATGGGGGAACCCTTTGGGAATGCACCCTCAGAGGAGTTCTCAGAGAGCCAGTGGCTTATCTTTGGGGTCCCTGTCAGCTCTGCCTGTGGGTCCTGACTGCTCAGCTAGGAACCAGAGAGGGCACTGTCCCTGGTTCTGAATTCACTTCTGCCAGTGAATCTGATCAGCTTTCTACTAGTCTAATACTTAATTGTGAGTTCACACAGAACCTGGAAATATACATGAATATGTAGAGTGGAGAGGAGACAGGAATCTGCTCCTGATTTTCTTACACCATCCCTTGGAATCAACTGTAGCACATGTTTGTCACATGTAACCCCCCAACTTCCTTCATTTACTCAACACTTTCTGAGCTTTGTTCTATGCCTAGCTTATTCCAGAGATCAGGGGCATGTCTTGAACAAAAGAAAATCAGACTCAGATCCCTGCCTTCATGGAGCTTATGCCCTAGAGGCAATAATAGACAGTTGCAAAGAATGACAGCACATAAAATGTCAGCTAATGATCTATGCTACAGTGCAAGGTAAAGGCGAGGAGGAGGTAGGAGGTTGCACTTAAACCTCAAGCGGTCAGTGAGAGCCTTGCTAAGCAGGGATTCTTGAGCATTCAGATGGGAAAGGTGTTCTTGGGCTTGCTTACAGTAGATAGCCCCTCGGAGACCCCTCAGCTCAGCCTGGTACTTCCCAGGCATGGCCACGCGAGCCTGGAGGTGGGCCATGTAGCTCATCAGTGATGGAGCCAGGGCATTGATGTGGGTCCTCTTTTATAGTGCCCTGTTAATCACAATGGTCTCTGGGTCAGCTGTGATTCTCTTTGTAGGTTGAGTGCCACCCATATCTTGCTCAGAAGAAACTGATCAGCTTCTGCCAGTCCAGAGATGTGTCCGTGACTGCCTACCAGCCCCTCGGGGGTTCCAGGTAGGAGTTTGTGGCCAGAAATGGATGCATGCCTCAGTTTCATTTACAGGGTAAGGTTTAAGGAAGGTTTAGGCAGGCTGTGGACACTACAGGCCTTCAGCAGGTAGGACTGCCAGCACCCTGGCCTAGGTGGGCTGGGCTGAGAGAGGAGCTGGTTCACATAGGACAGTAGTCATCTTCAGTGGCTACCTCCAGAAGGGCAGTGATGTTTAAGGGCTATAACCAGCAGGAAGCAATCTCTCTGCTGAGCTCTTTCCTGGTACCTCCCGTGCTATGCCAGACCTCTCTAGGGACAGGTCACAGACATCCTGATCTCTACGAATCATATTCCCAGAACCCGAACTGTGTGCTGTGCCCCCTATATCAGTGGATGAGCCACCACCCACTGGCCACGTGGGCCAGAAATGTATTCCCTTTTTGATCTCTCCTCATACCTCCAATCCAACTTGACAGCAAGGTGCACTTGTTATTTTGCCAGGAAACTTGGATTCTACCTCTTGATTTCTATTCTCACATAATGTTGTCATTAAGTATGAATTCTCTCCCGTGATTATAGCAACCTGTTAACAACTCCCGGGTTTGCCTGGTTCTCATCCACTATCCACACAACAGCTGAAGGGAGCCATCTCATTGCGACTGTGTCATTCTCCTGCTTACATATTCTTCAATTCCTGGTCTGGCTCCTGCCTATTTCTACCTATCCCTGCACCATGCTATGAGCCAACCATCTGAAACTATTTGGAGCTCCTGCTTTCTAGTCTCTGTGCTTTTGCAGATACAGTTCTCTTTACCTGAAAATCTTCTTCTTATCTTTTTTTCTTAAACCTGGCTTACTCCAATTTCTAATATAAGGCTCAGTTCACCACCACCTCCTTCAGGAAGCCTTCCCAATTTCTCCTTATTTGTGTTACCTTTATTTGTGTTGCATCCTCAGCCCTTATCACACTATCTTGTCATTATTTTCTTCTACTTGTAAGAACTATTTGAGTTGTGGGGACTGCATCTAAGTCATAACTCTCATACCAGCCCCTAGCTCAGTATTAGTGGTCCAGGAAAGGCTGAGATTATTGGACTGCTATTGCCTGTGTGTTTCCCAGGTGAAGTGGGGCAGATGTGCATCAAGTTGGTAGAGTGAGGGAGTTCCTAGTGTCTGGGTTGTATTCACAGCTGAGCTTGGGGTGGAGGAAGCCAGTGAGAGAGTGGGTGGTGTGAGCCACATGAGAGAAGGGAGGTGGCCGATGTCCCACAGCCAAGAGGGGTGGATTCTGTTTGGTCCCTTTATAGACATTGAGGATGGTTTTCATCTCAGTAACTGCTTGAAACACAGTAACTACTTTAAAAACGTTCACTAAGAACAATAGCTCTCCAACGGCCGAGGGCCTGGCCGCTTGACATCATGGAAGGTCAGACCCAGGGTCAGTCTTCACAGTCTCTGCATAAAGGCTACACAGGCCCACTGTTTCAGCTTTCTCTTGGGGTTAGAGGTGAACTTTTCTGAGATGCTATCCATTATCAATTCATGCTGATGGTGCTGTAGACAATACTCTAAGTCCTACCGAAGAGGTCAGAAGTCCCAGGGGCACAGCACTGCGGAGAGCCTGTGCTTCAGACACTCCGATGTTGCTACCCGGGTCTTCAGAAAAAGCACTGAAAAGATGTGAAGGCCAAGTGTCCAGCTGCATCCTCCCAAATGTCAGCCGTGGCTATCACTAGATGGTGGATTTGGTGACAAGCTTTTCTGAACCGTTTAGATTTCCCACACTGAGCATGTATCATGATCAGACAAAAGTAGATCTAGAGTTTCCATTTTGGAGAAAGTCTTGTTTTCAAAGAAGGAGGTGCACAGATTTGGTCTTGCAACCCCTGCAATGTTCTCCTTAGTGGAGGTGTGGACCTGATGGACAACCCCGTAATCCAGTCCATTGCCCAGAAGCACCAGAAGACCGCAGCTCAGGTAAGTGGGTACCTTCTGGGCTGGGCGGGCTTCTTTCTGCCCACTGCAGGAGCCATGCATGGGCATGGGCGGATGCCTCGCTGTGGCCCAGCAGGTGACTAATAGAACTGTTCAGTGTTCATCAGCCCCTTAAGGATGCTGTGGTTCCATTCATTCAGGCCCCAAGAACAATTCTCTACATGCCATGGTCCCAGGCTTCCTCCCGCGGCCCACCAGTTGAGTGGACCCCAAAGGAGTTTATGACTCTCTTCCTTGTTCTAATGTCCAGCGGTTCATGGGACTGGACATGATAGCGAACTCTGTTAAGGCACTGGCATGTCCTCTGAGCTCCTGGGGCCAGCGGCCATCCCTCCAGACATTCTATGGGACAGTGCAGAAATGCCACTATAGTGCCTACTGCCCGGGTCACTGGGCTTCCCTGCAGTGAAACATGACCCAGAAAGGAAGCAGTTGGCTTCTGACTCTGCTCAATTCCCTTTGTCTCATACTATGCGTTTTCCCCAGCAGATTTTGATCCGGTTTCAGATCCAGAGGAATGTGATCGCCATCCCCAAATCCGTCAACCCGAAGCGGATTCTTGAGAATATCCAGGGAGGTGTTCTCCTTCTTTGACATCAGTGGGTTTGGGGAACTGTATGAGTTAGGCAGCTACACACTGCAGCAAGCAGGCCAACCTGTGAGGCTCTGACACAGCAGAGGGACGGGGAAGCACAGGCCACGCCCAGTGGATACAGAGCTTCCCCTGGCAGACACCCATCTGGGGATGTAGACAAGATTAAATGGGGAAGGACTGATGGTGAGGGACCAGGGCGCCAGCCAGGCCACCTACCATCCAGTGCCTGCTCTGTGCCCAGCACCACTCACTAGTGCTGGCCCATGGCTGCCTATCCTGATGAGAGGGACCCTTCCAGACTGTTCGTTTCTTCCCTTAACCCACATTGCCCAGGGCCAGCTCCCCTGCCAGGCAGAACTGCTAACAGGGAGCCCATGGTTTCTGCTAGGCAACCGTGGAGGATCTCCGGAGGGCAGGGATTGGTCGGGGCCTGTCCCCTCCTGAGTGAAGATGGACTCTTTCCTGGTCCTTAGCGGCGGCTCAGGACTGGCTCTTCCATGTGAAAAGCTGTGGTTGCAGGAGCAGGTCACAGTCCTCAGGCCTGTTAGGGGCCAAGTAAGGGGGCAGCTTAGAATATATTTTAGAAGGAACAGAAAGTCTGTACTCAAAAGTACACGGTGTTACTATAAATATTTCTCTTTTTTCCGCGTCCAGCGCAGCTAGAGAGAGCAGTCCTGTTCCTGAGTAGGGGCATCTGGGGGTTGAGAAAATCAAAGAAAGAGACAGACACAGAGGTAGAAGGAAAAAGCCGGGGCCAGGTGGGACAGCTGTCCTCTGATGGAGAGGCAGTAACCCAGAACCATCCAAATTTATTTTATAGTCTGATTATAACAAGATTAACGTATACAAATGTTCTTGTTTTGGCAACACTTGCTGAACCTCCCACAGCCCATTAGCTACTTAGGAAGAAACTAGGGAGGGCTACCAGGTCAGGTTTAACAATGCAAGGCCAGCTCTGCCCCCTGGCTGGGACTTGTTTGTGGCCCTGCCACAGGTCAGCCTGAGGCTTCACCCTAGAGCCTCCCCACCTGTTACGACTATTATTAGAGTTAATGCTCTGTGGCCCAAACTCCCCTCACTGCTGGGGCCTGTGGAACACATGTTTGTGTTTTGGATTTGTGGTGTTTTGTTTTTTTGTATTTTATGAGCACTGGGAAAAATCCTTCACTGCACCCTTTGACTGTCCTGGTGTGCTCCTCACTTCTGTGGGACGAGCCCAGCACAGATCTCATCTTTCCAAGGGTCCCTGTTGCAGCCCAAATGGCCCAAGTCCTAGTGCATCCTGGGAACTGAGGCTGAGGGCCAGGGAATGTGCCTGGTGCCACATGAAGTGTTTCTTTCACATCCTAGTGTCCCCCACAGGCCCAGCACAGTGCTCAGCAGGTGATACGTTCTCAGTTAGGTGTTCACTGAACTGACTTTCCCATGAACATTTTATTTTGGTTCCAGGTGTTTGATTTTGAGTTACCAGAAGAGGATATGGATGCCCTTTTGAGCCTGGACAAGAACCTCCGACTGACCAAATTCTCCACGTAAGAACAGCTCCTTCACTACTCTGAAAATAGGGAGTCAATATTCAGATTGAGCTTTTGGTTCCTGGATGGATATTTATTGTATGTTTTAGGTTATTAAATGATCTCAGAATTCTTTCCTATTTGGGAATGGGCCGGTGAGGGAACCCAAAGATGAATTTTAGACACTAGAGAGTATAAAAATATAAAATTGTGTCATTTAAAAATGTTTCTCTTAAAAATAGTAATCCCTCTTTGTTTTTGTCTTTGACTTGTTCCCCGGGTTTCAGAGCTGTAAGCCACAAGGACTACCCTTTCCACATAGAGTACTGAGCCGGCTCCTGCTCCCCTCCCTCCCGCCCAACAAATCTAGGGCCGAAGGGCTCCCGCCCAGCAGCACAGGGCTCTGCCTCAAAGGCACAGACAGCCTGGCCAGGGATGGGAGGGACAGAGGCTAAGCTCCCCAAGAAATCATCAGACTCGGTGAGAATGAAGGAGGAAGCATCTGAGAGTGTGCTGCCCACGGAGTACTGGGAGACCAGCATGAAGAACCTCTACAGCTGCGACTCAGCTTCAATGAGCCCCTCCTCTCTGCCGCCCACCAGTCCCCCCAGATGATTTTTTAGCAAAACCCTTACCTTCACATCTGGAAAGGAAGATTGGGTGAAAGTGGTGAGCTGTCTTAATTCAATGAAGGCCTTTTTTTCTTACTTACAATCTAAATTTTAGTTTTAAAACACTAATGTTTGAGAAAGTTTTCTAGGAAATCAAATTTGATCAGGCATAAATAAACCTGTGAAAACAAACCAGAGATGGATGTGGTCATTTCCCCTCATGCCCTCAGTGTTCAGTCTCAGACAGTGGAGTGGATCTGGGGCAGGAGTACTAGGAAAAAACAGGGTGGGTATCCATGCAGGGCAGTGTGTGACTCTTGCCCTCTGCACGTTCCTTCCAGTTTGGCCCAGGAACTCCCGCCTCCTGGGACTTGCTACCAGGGCTTCTGGATGTATCTCCACCACACACCCTGTCCAGCTCTGAGCCCCGCTCCCACACACATCTCCAAGGATGGAACTTACTTGACGCACTGGGCATTTCCACCTTCCCCAAAGACTGTGCCTCCACAGGAGTTAGTTACTCCTGGTTGTTACCCCAGACACCCTCACCTCAGGCTACCATCCACACCCAGTGCTGGGCTTTCTCGCCCAGTGGTGAAGCTGTCTGTTTGGAGGCCAACCAGTCACACACTTGACATGTTTTCTGCCCGTTTCTCACGGGGTCTTCCTCATTTGTGAAGCCCTCCTTCCTGCTGTTTTGAGTGCTCTCAGTGCACTGCCCATACCCCCTTGATGTTCAAGCCTCAGTGCTTAGTCAGGAAGCTGACATGTGGCCCTGAACCCCCAGCCTCTGGCAGGAGCAGGAAAGGAGCTTGTCCATATCTGCTCCCAAGGCCAACTAGCCAGAAAGGGTCCAGGGCCCAAGTCCCAGGGATCTCCCACCCACATGGCCTGGGTGTGATGCACCCAGTGGGGTGGAGACACACTTCCTACCACAGGCAGAGGGTGGTCACGAGTGCCAGGAACAGGGACGGGTGGCATGTGCCCCAGAGTCTAATGTGCAAAGTTGCAGTCTCCTGGCTCTTCCCGTGTGACCTGTGGCATAAGCAGCAGAGACTGGCCTTGGCCTATCTGGTCCAACCAAGCCATGGGTGTCCTCAAACCCTGAAGGTGTGGCCCGCACGTCCTGCCTGTGCTTTCACTCTGCTTGTCTGTTTGGGGCCTTGGGTTCTCCTGTTGAGCTCATGGGAAAAGGGGATCCACTCAGACCCCTCTCCTTTTACTGGGTGGGGGCATAGACACAGTCTAGGAGTCTCTGTTTGGTTTCCAGTTGATGTATGACACCCAGAGGACATAAAAACATCAGTGATAGGAAAACAAGCTTTCTCTACTGCACTATCAAGGACAAAGTCTGTGGTCTTCCCTTCTTTGGGTCCTGAAGTATGTGGCTGCAGAGGCGAGAGTGGCTCTGCTGTGAGTCTGGGTCTTTGTTTCTGAGAGACAGAACCCGTGTCTCAGCCCATCCTCAGGCACAGCAGGTTCTCATTACCCATGGTATAAGCAGTTAGACAGGCATGAGCAGAGTGAGGACTATGGGCCAGGTACAGAAACTCACCAGGGCAGAAAGCCCCGGATCCCTAGCAAGGGGCAATACCAGAAAAACAAGGACCTTGTCCCCAGGGTAACTTTTCCTCCCCTAGCATATTGCTGGTCATACAGTTTGGAAGCCCTGACCTTTCCCTCCCTAAAGATAACATCTAGGCCTCAGTTGTATTTCAGCTCCCTGCCCAGAAAAGCAACAAAACCAGACAGTGACACTGTGGCTGTGGCTGACTGAGGACCAGCTGTATTGACTAATGATCCCTGCCTTGGTGCTGACCAATGAGTGGAGACCATGACCCTGAAAGAGCACACCTGGAAAGCTGATGCATATTCTATTGAGACGTTCCCCTGAAACCTGCCCTAAGATTTCCACTTGCAAGAGAGAGAGACAGAGAGAGAGAGAGAAATATGCTCAACACAAAGGACCCAAGAGGAGCCCTTCCCCAGGCGAGCATGCGGATACCATTTCCTTTCCACTTCTTTCCTCTAAGGGACCCCAGGAGACTTGTCACCCCAGGGAGCAATGGGCAGGGGCATCTCCTCCTGGGCTAACCTCCTGAACCTGTCTCCAGACCCCCTTTTCTCTGACTTCCCGGTGAGCCAAAGCAGCCAAGCCTAGGCTCTCCTGCTTGCCCTTCTTTGTTTCATTGTCCTATGTATATTTTTGCTGCAGCCAGTAAATTCTTACATACTTCGCTACATGTTGTCTCTTTATTGAAATAGTTCCTTCAAGAAGACAAGTTTTGTCGTCTCACCAGTAACACTCACAGTGGTTGTGTTTTACAAAGTCATCGCAAACACAGAACTCTCAGGCTCTGAACTACTGCTTTGAGCCTCTGATCACAACATTTTCCTCATCCAATCATACATCACCTGTTCCATGTGTGCTTCTGTCTGAAGGCACCTTATTGGGTCATTAGCACTGAACTCAGCCCACAGCACTGTGATTCACACCTGGATAGAGCTTATCTATCATTTATTTTTCCCATAAAACACTGCACAGAGTCCTTGCTCTTAAGAACAATAGGCAGCACTTCAGTACTACTTTGGGGGCATTTTTAAGCTGCTATAAAATACTTTATTATCTTATATTAAAAAGGCTCATTTTCATGAATTGATTGACAGATGTTTCTTCTTTATGTTAAGTATAAGAAAAGTTCTGCACAATTGCCTAATACAGTGCTTTATTAATACTGACATTAATCATTAAGTCATTCTACTTGATCCAGAATGCAAAGAAATCAGAAAAGCTCAATGAAACAAAATACAAGTGGCCTAAAATACCAATATTTAAGAATAATCATTTCTGTATTTGATCCTTCTAATCTTTGTTCAAGTCTATGACGTGCAGAGATAGATCAGTTTTATAAAATATGTAATAAATGTGCATAAACATATCTCACAAACCAGTCACAAAGAACATGCAATTTGTAATTTTCCTTTTAAAAAGACAAACACATACTAGACATACAGTTCATGCAACTGTTACCTTGATAGTTTGATAAGCAACATCAATAAACATCATGGAGCCTTTAATTTTGTATGTTTTTTAAAATATATTTTATTGATTTTGTACAGAGAGGAAGGGAGAGAGATAGAGAGCCAGAAACATCAATGAGAGAGAGTCATCGACCAGCTGCCTCTTGCACACCCCCTACCGGGGATATGCCCTTCAACCAAGGTACATGCCCTTGACCGGAATCGAACCCGGGTCCCTTCAGTCCCCAAGCCGATGCTCTATTTATTGAGCCAAACCGGTCTCGGCTAATTTTGTATGTTTTAAACTACATGATTTTAACTCATCATAGTATCATCCAAATGATCTCCATATGTTACACTGTCTCATTGCCATAAATAATTGACACCTTTCAAAGACCCTGCTAGCTGGAGAGAGAATGTACATCTTTATCCTTTAAGCTTGGATGCTGATGACATACACAAGTGTGGAGAGGCTATTCTGTGTCTGAGCACCATGTTGTAATAATAGCTACCACTTTTATAATAACTTTATATTTTATAGTAAAGGTTTTACAAAATTTTAAGGAGCTTTTCTACTAGGACCACTTAAAATAGTAAAATCACCAACAAGAATCATGCAAATGAGGATCACTTGGCACTAAACAGATGCTATGAGGGACACAGTGAGAGCTGAAGAGGCACAGAAGTGCTTCCATGCAGCCCAGTGCGAATCAGCTCAGAGAGCCCCAATTTTTGTTGCACTATGCATGTCTGAAAATGATCAGGGAAGCCTCAAGAATGTTGATTTCAGTATTACAAATAAATTTTAGCCTGTAAGCAAATACTCAAATATGGAATCCTGAATAATGCATTCATCACCTGTCTTCGCATTTACAATTTCTTTCTTAGCCAGCATCAGAGCTGTTGGGTACATTGGCCACCAGGTGGCATCAAAGACTGACTAACGTTCAAGCTCAAAGAAGATCTTCCTATAGAAGGTGCCTTTGCAATGCCTGTTAAATTTTTAAGTTTTGGCCGAAACTGGTTTGGCTCAATGGATAGGGTGTCAGCTTGGGGACTGAAGGGTCCCGGGTTTGATTCGGTCAAGGGCATATACCTTGGTTGCGGGCATATCCCCAGTAGGGGGTGTGCAAGAGGCAGCTGATCGATGACATTGATGTTTCTAACTATTCTCTCTCCCTTCTCCTCTGTACAAAATCAATAAAATATGTTTTAATTTTTTTTTTAAGTTTTGGGTGTGTTTTTGTTGTTGTTTTTGTTATTGTTTTTATTTTTAAACACTTTGTGAGTCATTGTGAGGAAAGAAACAATGGGTAGCAAAAATAAGAGAATTACCTTATTTTTCCGTGTATAACACACCCCCATGTAAGACACCTCCCACTTTTCCAACCCAAAATTAATAAATCAATATTTCAAACATAAAGCAGAACACATTTTTGTTTAGTAATTACCAAAGATAATGTTTACATACCAGTACTTCATCACCATTAGTTCCAGACATATCAATTTCTCCAATTTCTGTTGTAGCACTGCTGTCTTCTGAGTAACTGTCTACTAGTTTATATGTGAGATCATCCTCATAAACTGGTGTCATTTTCTGAGCTAACTTTGTTCATGTTCTCATGGCCAACCCTTCTCTCCTCATGATATTAAAGCACCATTTTGCCTTTCCTGTAAAATCAACAATGTTCATTTATCTTGCAAACATTCTTGCCTGACATTGAATAAGCTTGGTTGACACACATAAGCCACTCTGGCGCTGCTCTGTAATCCAAGTCTTAAGTCTCTGTTCCAAGTTTGCCCATTTTGCTGGTTTTCCTTTTAAGGCCTTCTTTTTTAGCATCTGAAGGTGTTATTCTTCCTGTTTTCTCCACTGTCTGAACATACACTTCCCTGGGAGGTGGTCCAAATTGTCTCTCTGCAGCTCTATTTCCATGCTCTTTTGCATAACTTAGTGGTCAGCAAACTCATTAGTCAACAGAGCAAATATCAACAGTACAACAATTGCAATTTCTTTTGAGAGCCAAATTTTTAAAACTTAAACTTCTTCGAATGCCACTTCTTCAAAATAGACTCACCCAGGCCTTGGTATTTTGTGGAAGAGCTCAAGGTACCAAAGAGCTGCATGTGGCTCGCGAGCCTCGGTTTGCCGACCACTGGCATAGCTGATTACATTCAGTTTGAATTTTGCAAAGTAAGACAATTGCTTACCAGTATTTACCTTTTTTAATTTTTTGACATCTTTATGGGCTCAAAACACTCCATTTTTTGTTGCATCTGCGCACTCTCCACCTCCACCTCCCATATGGCATCAGCTGATACCAGTAACAATAAGGCTCGTGATTGGAGGAAGCCTGTTGGATAAGGTATGGGCAGCTACACAACAGCACGGCTCCCTCCTCAGCTTAGTTCTATGTAAAAGACACCCCTTGATTTTCAGTCTGATGATTTTAGAAAAAAAAATAGCGTCTTATACATGGAAAAATACAGTATAAAGCTTGGGATGTTACAGAGTTTATGCAGTCACATTCCCCATCTATTTTCTACACATGCTACTTGAAAAGCTCTGAGCAGCTTGTCTCACAAGCCCTCCTCCCGTGGACTCTGCTCTTCTCTGGATAACCTGACTTCTGTGGGAGTTCTTTCCCACCCAAGTGCCTGCAGACACAGGCTCCACGAGAAAAGGTAGACACTTGTCCCCTTCAAGGAGCCCACTTTATTAGATGGCTGGTTTGTGTTCCTGATTACTTTGGGAATGAGATGGGGTGGGAGTGCTCATCACAATGGATACCTGTCCTATGGGCATTTTCTCTTTTCAGTGGAATGAAATGTAAATATGATTCATAATGTAAATATCTATATTTTCAGATGGTCTTAGGCAACCCACAGGTTGAGAACCACTGCTGTAGTGCCTAAGACCATTGAAAAATACAGATATTTACATTACGATTCATAACTAGCAAAATTACAGTTATGAAGTAGCAACAAAAGTAATTTTATGGTTGGGGGTCACCACAACTTGAGGAACTGTATTAAAGGGTCACAGCATTAGAAAGGCATGAGAACCACTGATCTCAGAGTATAATGAAAGCACCAAGAAGCAGTACACATCTATTCCTACCCTGTGCTTTGTTGTACTGATTCCTCCAAGATGTAATATACAATACAATGCTATCATTTTTTCTTTATTTTTATTTTTAATATGTTTTTATTGTTGATAGTATTACAGATTTCTCCCATTCCCCTTCTACCCCCTCCTTCCAGACCTACCCACCCTCCCAGGTTTTCACTACACTATTGCCAGTGTCTATGACCTATACGTATAAGTATACTCTAAGTTCTTTGGTTTCTCTCTTCTCTTCCTATTTTTCCTTTAAATAGTCAGTGTTGTTCTAAAGAATTTCAGCCACGAGGGAAATACCTTGCATATCTTCAAATGTGCGAACCATTCCACTGGTGTCCATGCCTCATTGTGTCTGGTTTCCCTCCGCACCATTTCTCTTCAGGCTGCAAAAATAGCTTTGAAATTTTCTCTTTTTTCATTTGTCCCAACTTTATTTGTAATTGCTTGATGGAACAGTTGTATGATGGCTGCTTTGGAACCTTGGTCAGGTTATTCTAATATCTGAGTCATCTTGGTGCATGAATCTGATGCTTATCTTTCAATTTGGTATCTCCCTTGTTCTTGGTATTGTGAGTAATTTTTAATTGAAATCTGGACCTTTCACGGATTTGTGTTAAGCTTAAGATCTCCTTAAAATGTCCTATAAAGCTGTATGGTGTGTCAAACTCATAGAACAAAAGAGAAAATAAGACAAGAATTACAGATAAGTAAAAAAAAAAAAAAAGTGGACTTTGAACATTTACAAGTATAGTAAATGGTTAGTTTTCTGTGTGTGTGTGTGTGTGTGTGTGTGTGTGTGTGTGTGTTTTGAGAGTTCATACTTCCTGGGATGTCAGCATTTCAATCTCAGTGACACAGGGAAACACAACACAAAACAAACAAAATAGCCAAAGCAGTCGTAGCTTAGGTTATTCAAACTGTATCATTATCTACTCCAAGAAGGAAAGGTCCAGTTTAAAGATTTTTCTTTCCTGGTCCAGGGACTCAAGCATATTGTGACAGATTGAGCTGAGGGGCACAAATGAACCAGATGTCTTCTTGTCCTTGATGTTCTCCAATCAGCAACCAAAATAAAAAGCCGGAGCACCCTCTGACACTGTTGTCAATATTCATCATAAAATGGATAATCTGGGTGATCAGCAAAACTAAAAGGTAAAAGGAGAGAGAGCCTTAGTCAAGTCACTGGCTGAATAGAGAGGTTTCTTTAAAACTGGCTTAAGTTAAAAATTAATATAACCTTTATGGGGAAGTGCAAACCCAACTAATGTTATAATAATCATGCTGCATTACAATGCAATACATACATTGTAAAATACAACTATACGTACTTACACTTGAGTACCTACACAAAAATAAATTATTATATTCTATTTTTGCAGGCATATTATTCTACAAATTAAGGAGATAAAACTATTGATGTTACTATTTTAATCTCCCAAAAGGGCAGAAATGAATTATGCTTTCATTTAAAATAATGTTAATTTAGCCGAAACCGGTTTGGCTCAGTGGATAGAGCATCAGCCTGCAGACTGAAGGGTCCCAGGCTCAATTCCGGTCAATGGCATGTACCTTGGTTGCGGTAGGGTGTTTCTCTCTCATCGATGTTTCTATCTCTCTATCCCTCTCCCTTCCTCTCTGTAAAAAATCAATAAAATATATTTTAAAAAATAAATAAAATAAAACAAAACAATGTTAATTTGGTTAAGTTTATGAAGTTAATAAACATTTCAAGTTGATGATAAGGAATGTGATAAAAATATGACTGTTATTCAATTTCTTCCAAGCACTCATAAAAGTATATATTAAACTTAAAGATAGATACAATGATTATAAAATAAATCACTTTGATAAACAACTTCCAGTTAGCAAGCACTACATAAATAATAATTTTTGAGATAGAAAATGCTAAATCATCTCTAGCTGGTATGGCTCAGATGGTTGGGTGTTCTCCTGTGTACCAAAAAGTTGCAGATTCAATTCTGAGCCAAAGTTTTGATCCATGAAGGGGAGCATACAGGAGGCAGCTGATCAATATTTTTTTTTCTCTCTCCCTCTCCATTCCTCTCTCTCTAAAATCATTTAAAAAAATAAAAAAATGCTAAGTCACTGAATAATTATTGATTATTGTTTCTCTATTCTCTCTTCCTCTTACCCTTCTACCTATTCTTTCAACCAATAGTTATTGATTATTCAAGGAAGAATTGCTTATTTAAAAACCTGCCCTAGGACCTGCAAGGTTTTGCTTTATGGCTGAGCTTCAATCTATGAACCAGAAAGTCACAGTTCAGCCACATGCCCAGGTTGTGCCCAGTGTGGGATTTGCAGGAGGCAGTCAATCTATGATTCTCTCATCATTGATGTTTCCATCTCTCTCCCTTCCTTTCTGAAAATATAAAAATATTTTTAAAAATAAAATAAAAACATGCTCAAGGATCCAGCATTCTGTGCTCAACAAAAAGTAACCAAATAGGTTAGTGAACTATATGGCATTTAATTAGGGATAAGTGCCAAGAGAAAAATAAATCAGGGTAGAGGGGAAGAAAATGCTGGATGGGGGTGCATTTTTAGATAAGGTGACAGAAAAGGTATTACTGAGGTGACATCTGAGTTAGGATTTCAAAAGGTGGAGGACTGAACATCCAGCCCCTTGGAGGAGGACCCTCTCCCAGAGAAAAGAGCCAGTGCAAAGGCCCAGACACTGACTTGTCATATGTGATAAGCAGCCAATGTGTCACTGGATGGAGTCAGAGGGAAGAGCGGTAGGTTTTGGGGGCAGAGATATAGGGAGGGAGCACCCTGTTGGCTCTTGTAGGCTGTGTAAGGAAGTTGGCCTTTGTTTGGAGTGGCCTGGCAGGCCACCAGGTACCACAAGGGGGAGTGCCTGACCCGGTCTACTGTGTAACCCGTTGGCTCTTCATAGAGAAGCCAGAGAGAAGCCAATAGACTTGATATTAACATGAATGAAGGGCAAAAGCATAGCAGCCAAAGAAAGCAAGTGTTGCTTGGAGGAGAGAGTGGCCCACTCAGGTTTCAGCAAAGACGAGGTTGTGGTGAACCTGATAAGAGTGCTGGCAAAGTAGAGAGCAAATGACTGATTTGATGAGATGGAGAAGAAAGGCCGGGCGGGGGGGGGGGGGGGGGGGGTCAATGGGAGGGAAAAAAAGGAGACATATGTACTACTATTTGTAATACTTCAAACAATAAAAGAAAAAAAGAGAGCCGAAACTGGTTTGGCTCAGTGGATAGAGCATCAGCCTACGGACTGAAAGGTCCCAGGTTCGATTCAGGTCAAGGGCATGTACCTGGATTGCAGGTACATCTCCAGTAGGAGGTGTGCAGGAGTCAGCTGATTGATGTTTCTCTCTCATCGATGTTTCTAATTCTCTATCCCTCTCCTTTCCTCTCTGTAAAAAAATCAATAATATGAGAGAGAGAGAGAGAGAAAAGAGAGAGAGAGAGAGAGAGAGAGAGAGAGAGAGAGAGAGAGAGAGAGGCAGGCAGGCCCTAGAGGGACAAGTGTAGCCTGCTCCTAGAAACATTTCTATAAAAGGTGATGTGGATGGAGCCTGGGTACCTGGGAAGTGAGGTAGCCTTTTTTTTTTTTTTTTTTTTTTTAAAGATGAGCACACATTTGAATGCCTTAAGGAATAATCTTGTGAGGAGAGAAAAACTGATTATGTGAGTAGGAATGGGACTTAACCAGGATTTGTTTAGATCAATGAGTAAGACAGGGGAAGAGAAGAGCTGAGGCACTCTGCAAAGGATATTAATAAATTGACCCTAGAATTTAAGTAGTATTAGGACAAATGGAACATGAGGGTAACAGTGAAAAGGCTTCAAGACAAAGGATTTCCAACAAATTTCCTATAGGAGAAGGAAAGAGTTGACCTTGTCCTTTGTGGATAGAAATAAGCATAATTCCTTCCCTGTCATGCTCTCCAGCATCTACAATGGAACAAGCTACTTACTAAGTGTCTTTAAAATAGCGAAGGTTCCTATTGAGTCCATCTAGAGTTTCCATATCCTCTGGTGTCAACTGGAAATCAAAAACCTAGTAGAAATGTGAGAAGAACTTTCAAATTTCTCTGAGGCAATTGCTCCCTAGCTTCCATCTCCCCAGACACTGACACACAAACTGAAGTAGGAATTTATGTAGGTTTTATGAGATAATTGTCATTAACGTGGGGGTCATTTTTTGGCAAAAGTCATGGGAATTTTCCACTCTGAGAGTTGAGATCGGCAATTCAGACCACCCTCAAAGACTTCTATGGAGTGGCTGGACTGATGTAGCAAAGGAATCCTAGAAATATTTAAGCCCAAACCTCATCTCATTTAACTCCTTCATTTTATAGCTGAAGAAATTAAGGGATGATTTGCCCAGGGCCATGCATTTGGATTAGAAATCAGTATTTTAGTGGTCTTTCCAACCCTCATGCACCCCCTCACCTTGCAACAGGTGGAGGACAAAATAATTAAACACAACACTTCTATGCACAGAGTACAAGGAGACAAATTTGACCCAATCCATGTTGATAGCCTCACCGATAACCACAACTGGGAAATGCTATACTGTCAGTCCTTGCTGACCACAGCCCTACCCTGTACCTGGAAGTTTTCTTGGATTCTCTTCTCAGTGAAGCTTTTGACCAGGACCACCAAGCCCCGCTGCAGCTGGTAACGCAGGGCCACCTGAGCTGGGGTTCGCTGGTGCTTTTCAGCAATGACATTGAGTACTGGGTCCTCCAGGATAACTGGGTAGTTCTTGGTCACCCTGGGAAGGAGGCAGAGTGCTCTGAGTCTGAGGCTGCATATCTATTTCATGGTGGGGGATAGAGGGAGCTTCTCATTTCGGGGGCGGGGGGGGGGGAGGGAGGGTGGGCTAGTCCTCTAGAATCTTCCTCATTACCCTCTGGCTACCTCAAGGTCCAATTTTGCTTCTTCTGGTAACTCCAAAAAAGAACAAGAGAAAATAATACCGAAAGGGAAACCAGGTATATTTTAAAAACACATTTCTGAGAAATTTAGTAAAAGTCTGAATAAATCAAAAAAACAAAATGGTTGCCCAAACTAAAACCCAATAACCACCATCACAAAAAATAACTACCTATTGTATAAGACTTTGCTATTTCAAAAACATAGTTTCAATCAATTCTCCCAGTTTTGTCATCCAGCACTAAAAGGTGCATAATTTAAATTGCTATTGAAGAAATAAACTGAAACTTGCAGAAGGAGTCACTTATATCACATCACTCAACTATTAAGTGTCAGAATTATGGCTTGGGCTAGTTTTTTCACTCTTCATAGCCAACCCTGGAATTTATGAACATTTTACTCATAATTTTATTCTATATAATAAATGCCCAGCGACTGAATGATAGAATGACTAGAATGACCAGAACGACCAGTCGATCTGTTGCTATGACACGTATTGACCATCAGGAGGCAGACACTCAACACAGGAGCTGCTCCTTGGTTGTCAGTGTGCTACATAGTGGAAGTGCTGCTTGGATGACCAGGATGAGTGGCTTCTCCTGCTGTGAAACCCGGGCCAATGAGCAGGAACCCAGGCTGTAATCATAGCCTTCTCACTCCAGGCTCCTCCTCCTCCTTGCTTTCTGTCTTCTCCTCCAGATGCATGCAGGCCATGCAGTGTTGCAGCCAGGGGGCTCGCAGAACTGACCCCAGAGGCTGGTAGGTGGCTTCATAGCCACCACAGGACTGAGGCCTACTAAGCTGCCTCTCAGTGCTATTGTCCTTGGGTATACCCCGACCAGGATCCCTGGAGAGGTGAGTGCTGCAGCTCCACATAAGAAGCCAGACCAGGGAGCAGCTGCTCAGAGGGAAGGTTCACAGCCGCTTAGCTGACCTGGATGAGTAGCACTCCCATAGCGGGCCCCACCGCCCACCAGTGTATGAATTCCATGCACCAGGCCTGATACACAAAATTCGTGCACTCGGGGTGGGAAGAGGGAGGGGTCCCTCAGCCTGGATTATGAAAGGGTGCAGGCCAAGCTGAGGGATCCCACTGGTGCATAATCGGGGCAGGGGAGGGATGCAGGAGGTTGGCCAGCTGGGGAGGGACCATAGGAGGGCTCCAGGGCATGGCTGGTCTTCTTGCCCAATCCTGATTGGCCAGACCCCAGCAGCAAGTTAACCTACCAATGGGAGTGTCTGGCCCCTGGTGGTCAGTGCACGTCATAGCAAGCAGTTGAGTGGTCTTAGCATATCATTAGCATATTATGCTTTGATTGGTTGAATGGCCAATTGCATGACCAGACACTTGGCATATTAGGCTTTTATTATATAGAATGCTTTATAGAGACTTTACAATGTGGCCTAGGGAAAGGGTTGACAAAGATGAGTTACTAATTTCCCCCAGACAGTTGAGAGAGGACTCAAAGAGGAATGGCATCTAGGATGAAAATAACTTTTTAGAGAATAACTTTTTTACCACTCCTTTTCGGGGTCAGAGCCCAGGACGCCATATGCAGTGAGGACAATGTCCTTGGACTTGCAGAAATCCAGAAGTTTGCTCTGGTTAAGGTACAGGTGACACTCTACCTGCAAAACATCAAGCAGAAGCATTGGATTATAGAACCACCAACACCAAGTTTACAACGAACATACAGTGCTGTTTTGTATGGTGCCAAAAATACTTAAGAATACCAGCTACATGGACAAACACATGGTTGTCACACACAGCTGTGCCACTGGAGCTTCCCAAGTCTCAACTCTGGCTACCTACCCAGAGAGAGCATCGCAATATTGAGCTCAGTGCTTGTGATAGGGGGGACCTAAAACTAACAGATAGAACACCAGAATTAATCTAAAAAGTAATCATACCATTTCAAATCTTAGAACACATACTTATGTGAATAGGGGGTTAAGTTTTTCTTCAAGTGTCCCTTTCAAGGCCTGTATGAAGCGATTGGGGAGGTAGTATTCAACTGTGAATCCAGCAAGCAGAGCAGATAAGCATGATCAGGCTGACCCACCAGGAGTCAAATCTTCATCTCATCAACATCATCTCATTGCCTGATGACTAATTACAATAGCTGATATCTGCATGTAGCTGCATTCCTCACCCCAGGCCCTTCCTTTTTATAATCCTGTCCCCTGTACTTTGCTGTGTCCCTGTCTTCTTGGCTGGCTAGCCTTCTCAATAAATGCCTTATATAATTCAACCCTGTCTTCATTATTGGACCCAGGAACAGGCAGCCCGAGTCAAACCAGGAGTTTCCCAGTAACTCCTGTGGAAGATGAGTTCGGATGATGAGAAGAACAGATCTCCCCGACTCTCAGGCTGGAGGCCATGGTGGTGTTCTTGGGTCTTTTTCATGTAAACTCCCTCCAACCAAGTTGGCTAAACACTATCACCCATTAGAGCTCAGGAAATATCCAGCTTCTCCCTTAATTTTTCACCAACTACTCCAGTCAAAACCAATGTTCTTTCCTTTCTATTAATTGGTAATCTCAAAGTGGAAGTTAACTTCTCAAGGGACACAAAATACAACTTTTTATAATTTTTATTTGTATTTTTAATCTAAAAATAAAAAAATATGTCTTGTTAATATTTAATATATTGATTGACTACCATCCTCTCAGTTTGCATGGAAGATGTTTAAAAGGAGATGAGATAATCCAGGGAGTGTAGGCTATTTCAGCACTCCTGGTTTTTCTTTCACTATTCTCCAAGACAAGTAGGTGTATGTGTTGTTCATTAAAGTGAGTTTATTTTAACAGGTAGCCTTCTAAATTAAAAAAAAATGTAAGGTGGTAAAATATACATAACACATTTACTACTTAAACCATTATTAAGTATACAGTTCAGTGGTATTAAATACATTCATATTGTCAGTGATTTTGTACTATCAAGGAGATCAATGATTCTCATGCACAGAACTCAAGAGTTATTAGACTTAAAGATGATTCACCCACTTTCTTTTATTCACAAGTGTTCCAACTTTGCTGACCTTTTATGAGATGAGAAAACTCAGTAGTGTGCTGGTTCTAAATTTTTAGGACCAATCCCCATAACACCTAGTAGATATTCTCCAACCTGACCTTTACATGTTTTTTTTTTTTGTTTTTTTTTGTTTTTTTTTTTGTTTTTTTTTTTAATAAAGTGACATAGTCTTGGCAACTGCCAACAACTTGAAATACATTCTGTTCTCTTGAAGCAGCTGTCAAAGTTACCATACACTAGAGGGAGTGCCCTTGGAAACTTGTAGAAATGAGAAAAAAGTAAGCTGAAGAGGAGGGCGAGGAAGTCAGTGGTGTGTTGATGGGGCTCACCTGGTTGCATACAGGCTTGTATTTGAGTCCTGGTTTGTTCAGGATCATCTCCAGCTGCTTGAAGTTAAAATTGGATACACCAATGGACTTGGCCAATCCTGCCTCCTTACACTTCTCCAGGACCTGGGGAGGAAGGGTTGTGAGAGGTCATGTGTATAACTGGCTAGAGAAGTCTAATGGAATCACAGTGAGAGTAGGGGGTGGGGATGGGAAAAAATATGAGCCAGAGCAGGAGAGAAAGTCTTGAAAGATTCAAGTGTCATTCAACAAAACAGAAATTGGCCAAAGGAGGGAAATTTTAAAAATCATAGAAAAAAAATGGGTAAGAACATAAGAGTAAGAAAAGAATGCAAGTGGGCAAGACAGAGCTAAAAGAGCCAGATAATCTTTATCTGAACACCAGGCAAAATTTGATGAAACAAGATGGCAAAATCAGCCACAGGAAATGGAGTAGCTGAGCACGGGGAAAAAGAGAGTGGGCCTCTTTTCTCTATGACCCCATTTCTTATTATTGCCCTTCAAACTCCCTCTGTTCTAGTAAACAAGTCCTATTGCTGTTTCTGGAACCTGGTAAGTTCTGTCTCATCTTAAAAACTCTGCCTTGGTCTTCTTTTGGCTTGTATCACTTTTTGTTCAAATATCCATATAATCAATGTTCTCACTTCCTGCAAGTCTTTGATCAAATGTCATCTTCTCAAAGAGGCCTACCCCACCCATTCTGTATTTAATTGGTTACCTATGTCCTAACCCCTGCACTCTCAGTTCCCATGGGGCCAGAGGCCTCAGTGTTGCCTGAGTATTTAGAAGCACTAAGTATTGAGTACGTCATAGGCACTCAATAAAGTATTTGTTGAATTATTAAGTGGATGAATTGAGAACATTAAGGCAGAGGACCATTCAGGGTCTTCCTTGAGTCTATACAGGTGGAAGAACTGGACTAGATGTATCCTTCCTGAATTCCCATCTGTCCTCTCTCCCCACAGGGGCAGCTATACTCACCTCCCAGGTGGTACAGAGATCCACTGTGTCAGAAATGAGTTTCCCATCTGTGTTCTTTGGGAAAATTTCCTCCCCAGGCTGGAATATAGTCAAGAAGGAAAAGGTGTACAAAGCCATGTCTGACTTTACCCAAATTGTTTTGAATCTATAAGAATAATCTATCCTTACTTTTTAAAGGAATTTTAAGGTTGGGATTAAAGGAAAGGAGGTATATTTAGGAGGTAAACCTCCCATAAATGTCTTTAATCACCAAAGGTTTAATAAATATTGCTTGTGTCAAAGACAACTGGAGACACCCTGGACACCATTCTAGGGTGAGCATGGCTCAGCAAGCTCCTTTCTCCTGAGCTCTCCCATCTCACTTTCCACCAGAGAGCAACCTGTCTGCCTCTCATGGGCTGAGTCTCATCTTCTTTGGATTTCCTGGTCCTCAGCTGACCTCTACATCAAGACATTCCCAGACAAAGGTGGGCACTGGGCTCAGATTCAGGAGCACAGGGGTTGTCTCTCTGGAGCTAAAATAATGAACTGAGATGGAGATAGTTGCAGCCAAAAGAATAGGGAATCTTAAAGTGTTATGCATGTTTCTTCTCATTTTATAAATTATCTCCTCTCTATCAGTCAGCTACAATGTTTATATTGATAACCAAAGTAAAATAACTTTTGCTAACCTTCAAAGCTACTGGGAAATGAATAAGAAAAAGATCCACATAGCTCAGCTGAAGTTTCCTCAGAGATACTTCTAGGCCAGTTTGGACCAATTCTGGACGGAAAAAGGTGCCCCACAGCTGCAATGGTTGAAAGAGAAGGGATGTGAGATTATTTCTTTAAGAACCTTTTAGCTTTAGCTTATTTTGCCCTCAGATAGAGCATTAGCCCACGGACTGAATGGTCTTTGGGTTCAACTCCATTCAAGTGCATGTACTTGGTTGCAGGTTTTATCCTGGCCCTGGTCTCCTTCCTGGCCGTGGTCAGGGTTCAACTCCATTCAAGTGCATGTACTTGGTTGCAGGTTTTATCCTGGCCCTGGTCTCCTTCCTGGCCATGGTCAGGGTTCATGTGGAAGGCAACCAATGATGTTTCTGTGTGTCTCTTCCCCTCCCTTCTACTCACTCTAAAAATCAATGGAAAAATATCCTCAGGTGAGGATTAACAACAACAACAAAGTCTTTAGGGATTAATAACAACAACAAAGAGTCTTTAGGAGAAACTGGCTGGAGTGGCTCAATGGGTTGAGCTTTGTCCTGTGCACCAAAAGTTTCCTGGTTCAATTCCCAGTCAGGGGACATGTACAGAAGACAACTGATTATTCATATTCTCTCTCTCTCTCTCTCTCTCTCTCTCTCTCTCTCTCTCTCTCTCTCCCCCCTTTCCTCTCTATAAGCATGTCATCAGGTAAGGATATCTATCTATCTATCTATCTATCTATCTATCTATCTATCTATCTATCTATCTACCTATCTATTTATCTATCTATCTATCGCTAAGCGACCGTCTGACCTTCTGACTGATAGCTATGATGGTCACTGACCACCAAGGGCAGATGCTCAACACAGGTGCTGCTGAGCTGTGTGACTTGACAGTGGCGGTTCTCAGGTGATGCACCCCAGAACCAGAGAAGAGGGAGCCTGATTCTGAGGTGCGTCACCCAAGAACCACCCTTTCACAATCCAGGGGGATATCAGAGAGCTGGTTTCAGCCTGATCCCTGCAGGCCAGGCCGAGGAACCCCACCTGCCAGAGGGACCCCGCTCACTCCACAGACACCCTTTGAGCTGCAGTGCCACCCCAGGTGTGGCTGGCCACTGGGGAGGGACCATGGGAGGTTGGCTTTAGGGTATCTTCTGCCTTATTGCCTAGTTCTATCCCACTGGCTATCTTCTAATTAATTTTCTTTCAATGTGCATGAATCTGTGCACCAGGGCACTAGTATATATGTGTGTGTGTATGTACATATGTGTATGTGTGTGTGTGTATATATATATATATATATATGTTTTTCTAAAACCTTTATATGTACTTATTATATAACATATATAAAAATTCTGTGCATTAATAATATCATCTTTATTTTACAACTTGGGAAGCTGAGGCATGGAATTTAAGTAGGTTTAAGTCCAAGGTCACACATTGAGTAAGATTCAAATATAGGAAGTCTGAAGAGAACTCAAATTCCCAACTGGTTAGGAACTATAATTCCTAACCAGTCTTGTATAGTCTGAGAATGAGTCAAAATGAAACCAATCAGATGGTTGCCAAGAAATTATTCAGCTAAGAATGAGCTTCCCTCAGGTATACATGCAACTCTACAGAGCACCTTTGAAGTATAGAATATGTCATCTCTCTTCACAGTGCCATCGGCAATTTTCTTCCGGATGGCCCTCCCAATCTCTTCTTCATTTAGGTATATATAAGCTGAATCAATATGGCGATAGCCTATATCAATTGCTCTCTCAATGGCCTCTTCCACCTTACTCTTAGAAACCTAGAAAAGCATAAAAAATAAAGACTCAGTTATTGAAAAGCACATGACCAATTCCATGAGCAGAGCTAGTTGACAGAACTTCTTGCTTTTCTAAGGTCTAGGAACTAGAGGTGACAAAGCCAACTGTTGACTTATAACATGTGATAAATATTTAACAACAATCTAAAGAAAAGTCTTGATTTCTAGTATTTAATAATTTCTATGGTGCAAATACTCACCTCCCTCCTCCATGTCTAATTTCAAGCTACCAATATGGGGAAGATGCTCACAAGTGAATCTTGTGATCCATGAGCTGGCCCTAGCACATTTCTGTGTTTAACCCCCTACTTCTAGATTTATACTCTCTATGTGATCTGTAGATTTACACAACCTTTAGATTTACATCCCTAAATTAATTCACTTGATACAAGATTATGAGGTTGGTTTTAGCCCAGAAATCCAATGCTAAAAATTATCAATGCAATGAAAATGAAATTTTAGATAGAATACACTAACTCCCTTTTCACTCAAAAATACCTCAAAATTATTTTTTGGTGATAATTTTTTGACTCACAGCTTTGCTATTTTTCACAGCTGCCTACTTTTCTCCTGGCCCACCAGGCTGAACCTATTAAATTATCTGTAATTATTTTCTTTTCATTACCCTTTTCTACCTCATTTGATAATGAGAATGTCTGGGGTATAGTTTAAAATGTTCAACTCCTGATGAGTTAACTATCTCCATGGAGATTAACTGGATATGAATAGATTGAAGAGCTAAATCAAAGGAAAAGCAATACATACAAGTGTCCTTGTGGCAGTCCTCACTACATGACTTTTTTTTTATTTTTTATTTTTTTATTATTATTATTTTTTAATCAATCTTTATTGTTCATATTATTACAAAGGTTCCTCATTTCTTCCCCCCTCCACCAGGTTCCCACCCCACCCTCCGCCCCCTCCCCATCCCCCATTGTCCTCATCCATAGGTGCACAGTTTATGTTCAGTCTCTTCTTCCCTCCCTTTCCCCAATAGTAAATCCCTTTTCAGATAGTAAATCAGTTACTTAGCATTTTCTCATATCAATAATACCTCCACATGCCCAATGATACACTTCACACAAAAGACATTTCCCAATAGGTCCACCAGCCTCATCCAGGCCCCACCCAAGGCACTCACAGATCAACACCCCAGCCCTATACTAACTCAACACATCCAGATCTAAGCCTTCATCACTTGATTCAGCAGACCCTCAAGTTCCCGCGAAAGTTTCCAGCCATGTCTGAGAGGCAGTCGTGGGGCAGGGGCAGGCGAGGAGCGAGCTGTTCCAGGCCTGGCTGCTCAGGGCCTGGCCTCTGTTGCTCTGGTTCGTTCCACAACCAGCTGCTCCGGGTCTGGTCACTGCCGCTCCCGCCCTAGTTGCTCTGGACTTGGCTGCTGCTGCTCCGGGCCTGGGTGCTCCCAGCCTGGCAGCCGCTGCTCCAGGCCTGGCCGCACCCGACCCAGCTGTTCCCCCGGGCCTGGCCGCTCCCAGCCTGGCAGCCGCTGCTCTGGGCCTGGCCGCACCCGACCCGGCTGCTCCCCTGGGCCTGGCCGCTTCCAGCCTGGCAGCCGCTGCTCCGGGCCTGGCCGCACCCGACCCGGCTGCTCTGGGCCCGACTGCCCCGGGCCCGGCCGCTCCGAGCCTGGGCACTCCCAGCCTGGATGCTCTGGGCTTGGTTACTGCTGTTCTGGGTCTGGCTGCTCCCACCCCGGCTGCTCTGGGCCTGGCTTCTCCGGGCCTGGCCACTCCGGGTCTGGTTGTTCCTGGACTGGCCACCCTGGGCTTGGCCGTCTCTGCCTCAGGCCTGGCTGCCACTGCCCCAGGTCTGGCTGTTCCAGTGCTGGCTGTTGATGCTCTGGTTCAGGCTGCTGCTGCTCTGGGGCCTGGCCGTTGTTGCTCCGGGCCTGGCTGCCACTGCCTTGTGCCTGGCCACTCTAGGCCTAGCCGCCGCTGTTCCAACATTCTGTCCTTTTTTTTTTAAAACGCATTTATGTTGCAATGTTGGCTGTTGAGTTGAGTTCTGACTTAGTCTTTGATTTTTCAAGAACTTCTTTGTATTCTTTCTTAAGTAATTTTACTATCTTTTGCTCTCACTTGATTTCTTCACATTGAGAACTTCTTTGGTTTCTTCCTCCTTGTCCTGGGAGCTCAGCAGGTTGGCCTGTGGCACCCCTTTGTTCTCCACAGGCTCCTGCGCTGCTTTAGCCTGTTGCCGGGGACGGCGCCGCCCAGGAAGCAGCCCCTGGCCTTGGCTCCATTGCCCGTGCTCAGTGGTGGAAGGCTCAGGGGCACGCCCCCCCCCCAGGGGCCCGGTCGCCAGGCTCCTTGCTGGTTCCTGGTTGGCTGGCGTCTGGCAGGGGCTCCAGCTCCCCGCCGCGTTCCCCCAGCCCGGAGCTTTTTTTCTCCTTCCTGTTAGGGGAGTCCAGCATCAGAGTCAACAGACTGTCCTCAGCTGTGCGCAAGTCTGGGGGCCCGGCCTTTCGCTGCTCTCCCAGGACTCCACCTCACAGCCCCGTCTCCCTCTGCCTGAGTCTGGGTCCCCAGGGATTGGCCCAGAACTGGGGTTCGGAGCAGTCTGGACTGAGGCTCAGCACCGATGGATGACTTGTTTCTTCCGGCTAGGGTAACCCAGCATCAGAGTCAACATTCAGTCCTCTGCTCGTGCATTGCGCGCGACTCCGGGGGCCCTGCTTTTCACCGCTTTTCCGCCCCACAGCCCCGTCTCCCCCTGCCGGAACCTGGGTCCCCAGGGTCTGGCCCATAACTGGGGCTCAGTGCTGCCGGTTCGGGGGGCTCAGCACTGCCGGTTCGGGGGGCTCAGCACTGCCGGTTCGGGGGTTCAGCCCAGGCTGGGGGTTTTATCTCCTTCCTGCCAGGGAAGGAAAGGCAGCACCCCGCCCTCTCCTCCTCTCCAGCTGCGACCTCTCTGCGCGCCCGTGTGGGCGGGCGCGCAGCATGTCTCCGTACCTTAGGCTCTTTTTTTTCAGTTCCTCTGATTTTCCTTCTGGTTTTCTCCCTCCTTCTTGTTGTAGAATTTTCAGTCAGTCGACTACCTGTAGCTCCGGGCAATGTCCACTCTACATCTTAGTTGTATTCCATTGAAATTGTTGTGTGCTGCCGCAGCTAGATGTCTACCCGAGCAGCCATCTTGGATCTCTCCCTCACTACATGACTCTTACACTTGAGAAACTATCCTACAACTTTCCTAAAACCACCATAAACTTCACCAGGGAACACTGAAGCTGAGTTCTTGTAAGGTTGTAGTGTTTGAACCAGAAACATGCAAGGTGTTTGATGAACCTGGAAAGCATTATGCTAAGTAAATAAGCCAGTCAGAGAAAGATAAGTACCATATGATTTTACTTTATGTAGAATCTAATGAACAAAATAAACTAAGAAATGGAGACAGACTTATGGATACAGAGTAGAGACTGACAGCTGTCAGAGGGGAGGGGTTGGGGGCTGAGTAGAAATAATAAAGGGATTAAGCAAAGGAAAAAAAAAAGACTCATGGACACAGACAACAATATGATGATTTTCAGAGGGAAGGGTGGGTAGATATGGGTATAAAAAGGGGATAAATGGTGATGACTGAGACTTGACTCTGGGTGGTGAACACACAATACAATATACAGATGATGTAGTGTAGAATTGTATATCTGAAACCTGTATAATTTTATTAACCAACTAGAGACCCATTGCACAAAATTTGTGGGTGGTGTCCTTCAGCCCAGCCTGCAGCCTCTCCAATCTGGGACCTCTCGGGGGATGTCCAGCTGCAGGTTTAAACTGGCAGTCGGACATCCTTCTCACAACCCAGGACTGCTGGCTCCCAAATGCTTACCTGCCTGCCTGTCTGATTGCCCCTAACCACTTCTGCCTGCCAGCCTGATCACCCCTAACCACTCCCCAGCCAGCCTGATCAATGCCTAACAACTGCTACCTTGCCAGCCAGATTGCCCCCAACTGCCCTCCCCTACTGCCATGGTCCCCCCAATTGCCCTCCCACCCCTGCAGGCCTGGTCACCCCAACTTTCCTCCCCTGCCAACCATCTTGTGGTGGCCCTCTTGTGACCACATGGGGTGGCCATCTTTTGCAAGGCTGTGATGGTTAATTTGCATATTACCTCTTTATTATATAGGATATTATATAGGACTAGAAGCTTGGTGCATAGATTTATGCACAGGTGGGTCCAGCCAGCCCACCCCAATTGAGACCAATTGGGCCAGGCCAGCCAGGGGGAGGAAAAGCAGGAGGTTATCCAGCTGGCCCTGCCCCCCAATCAAGGGGGGAGGCTGGAGGAGAGGCTGCCTCCTGATTGGGCTAGTTGGCCAGCCACAATGCACATCATAGTGACCAGTGGTTCAGTCGTTCCAGCATCCTGGTCATTTAGCTTATATATATATATAGATGTCACTCCAAGAAATTCAATTAAAATATATATATAGTCTTCCGAAAAAAGAGAGGATTTCCAAGTGCCACTTGGCCCTCCCCTTGGCACAGTACTAACAACCTGGCTTTCAGAGACTATTTCCACCCAGACCACCAAAATTCTACCATGAATCCTGCCTCTCTTCCTCCAGGTCTTTTTGTAACTGAGATTTCTCTCAATATTCTGGGTAGTGAAGGACAGGGGCAACTTGGACCTTAGAAATTACAGAGAAACTTCATCACAAGCAAGCTTGCTGCAAAGTCTCTGACCTATGGTAACATAATAACTGGGCTCCATTTATTCCAATATATTGTGAAATGGCTACAACTGGACACAAGTGAGAAATAAACTATTCTACCCCTGAACTGCTGAAAGGCGACACTCTTCATCTCCCTTGATACAGTGCTACTCTGAGATCATTGGACAAGCAGCAGCAGAATCATTTGGTAGCTCATTAGAAATATGAACTTTGAGTCTTCTCCAAGATCCATTCAATCAGAAACTTTGTGTGTAGAACATCTAAATCTGTATTTCTAACAAGATTCTTAGATATTTTATGCCTATTAAAATTTGAAAAGCACTGACTTACTGCACAAAATAACCTAACCTGGAGAGAAAGCACCCTATCAATGAATAATAAGATGCCCATCTGTATTCCCCAAATTCAAGCAGTGACTAGTTCTGGTCAGAACCCTTTCTGCTGCCCCTCCATCTCCAAGGCCATTATGATTACCTTAGCAGGAGCTGAGGTGCCAAATCCCAGAATAGGCATGGAGTGCCCATCGTTCAGCTTCACAGAAAAGTGTCTCATTGCATGCATCTCCTTTCACTCTCTTGGTTAAATAAACAGATTTTCTTTATTAAAAGTCATTTGGAGAGAGAGAAAAAAACACACACAGTATAATTGCTATTTTTAACAGCTTTAATAAAGTAAAAGTCACATATAATAAATCACCTCTTTTTAATTATACAACTCAGCAGCTTTTAGTATATTCTTAGGATTTCTACCACTATACAACTTTGAAGCATTTTTATCATCCCCAAAGATACCTCACACTCACTAGAAGGTAACTCCCATTCCTCTTTCCCTCCAACCCCTGGCAACTATTTCCTATCTCTATAGATTTGTCTATTTTGAAAATTTTATGTAAATGTATTCATACACTTTGTAGCATTTTGTGGTTACCTTTTTTCACTTAGCATGTTAAGGCCAGGCTGTGTTATTTTTCACTTATCAGTATTCCATTCCTTTTTATGCCTAACAAGGCTCAGTGCACAAATTAGTGTACAGGAGGGGTCCAGTCGGCCCTCCCCAATGGGGTCAATTGAACCAACTGGTTGGGGTAGGGGACACAGGAGGTTGGCTGGCCATCCCTGCCCCAGGGTGGGTGGGTGGGGCCAATAAAGGGCAGGGACAGCTGGGAGAAGGGGCTGAGGGAGGTTGGCCAGCCAGCCTTGCCCCTGATTGGGGTGGCCTATCAGGGATGGGGCCAGCCTGGGGGATGGACCTCCACCAGTTGGCCATCCCCATCCCCAATTGGTGTTGGGGTTCAATCTGGGGTGAGGTCAGCTGGAGGGAGGAGCTCCTGGCAGTTGGCTGGCTGGCCCTGCTCCTGATCAAGGTTGGGGGGGCTGATTGTGGAGGTGTCTGGCCAGGGGAGGGGCCACAGGCAGTTGAGGGGTCTGATTGGGGCCTTGATAGGGCCAGTTGGCATCCCCAGTGTGTGTTATAGTGACTGATCCTTCTGGTCATTTTAGTTGTTCTGTTGTTCTGTTTGCTTGGCTTTTATATATAAATATAGTCCCTTTGTATGGATATACCACATTTGTTTATCCATTCATCATTTGATGAACATTTGACTTTTTCTATTTTTTTAACTGTTATGAATAACTAGAGGCCCAGTGCATGAAATTTGTGCAAGGAGAGTTTGGGGAGAGCATGTTCTCCTCAGCTCAGCCTGTACCCTCTCCAGTCTGGGATCCTTTGGGAGATGTCCAAATGCTGGTTGAGACCTTTTCCCTTTCACAATTCTGGACTGCTGGTTCCTAATTGCTCACCTGCCTGCCTGCCTGGTCACTCCTAACTGCCCTCCCCACTGCTGGCCTGATCAACCCTCAATGCTTCTGCATACAAGCCTAATCACCCCTAATTGCCCCTGACTGGCCTAGTTGCCCCCACTTGCACTCCTGCTGTCTTAGTCACCCCTCACAGCTGGCCTGGTCACCACATGCAGCCTGCTTGTTCAGTCATTTGGTTGTCCCTCACTAACACCCCTCTGGCCTGGTTGTAAGCAGCCATCTTCTTAGGGTGTAAGGGTAAATTTGCATATTACCTCTTTATTATTATAGGATTATATAGGATACTTCTGTACACATTTATGTATAAGTTTTTCTGTGGACATACATTTCCAGTTCTTATAGTACATGAAGCTTTCCTTCTATTTGTGTCTTCAATTTCTTTCATCATTTTGTAGTTTTTAGTACACAGGATTTTCACTTCCTTAGTTAAATTTATTCCTAAACAATTTATTCTTTTTGGTGCTATTATAAATGTGATTGTTTTCCTAATTTATTTTTCAGACAGTTTACTAATAGTGTATAAAAAAAACAAATGATTATTGATATAGATTACTTTTATTTCTTTTTCTTGCTTTAAGACTTTCACTACTTCATTGAATAGAATTGGCAAGAATGGCATCCTTGTCTTCTTCCAGATAGAGATACTATTTATATCTCCCCTTAATTCTGCCTACATTTGCTTTAAATATTTAGATGTTTTGGTATTGGATCAGTATATATTTATAATTATTATGAATTCCTGGTGGATTGGTCCTTTTGTTGTTTTATAATGCTCCTCTTTGTCTTTTAGGATAGTTTTTTACTTAAAGTATATTTTAACTGATATATATATATATGCCTCCCTTGCTCTCTTTTGGTTATTATTTGCACACTTTTTCTCTCCCTTCACTTTCAACCCATGTGTGCTTTGCTTTCTGGAATCTAAAGTGATTCTCTTATAGACAGCATATAGTTAATCTTGGTATTGTTTGTTAGTTTGTTTTAATTCAATTAGTAACCCTGTCTTTTGATTGGATAGCTTAACCATTTACATTTAAGTAATTACTGATAGGGAAGGTCCTACTATATCACTTTGATTGTTGTCTTCTGTTAATCTTGTTCTTTCATCTCTTTACTTTTAAAAAATATATTTTAATTATACTTTACATTTATTGTTATTTTGTATTAGTTCCAAGCATCTATCTTTTCCTTTCTTGATATCTTCCTCATGTTTTGTAGATTTTTATAGTGGATATCCTTTGACTTCTTTTTCTTTTGTGTAACTACTATATGTAGTGTGTGTGTGTGTGTGTGTGTGTGTGTGTGTGTGTGTGTGTGTGTGTGAGATAACCTTGGAGCTTACATACAATATTGTTATTTCAACTGTGCTAAATCCATCAGAATTTCAAGACTGGTGAGGAAAATGCTAGTTCTTTGGTAAGCCACAGAAAAGATGGAGCAGGATGCATAGATTAACTCTGTTCTTCCCCAGGGGGAACTGAGAGCTGGGGCTTTGTGTCATCTCTCTCTATGCTGAGCAGAGGGAGGATCTATGGTATCTGCTAGCCCATGCCACCATCTCTGTCTATTCTGGGTGGCTAGACTGTGGCAGACCCATCAGACTCCTGGTGAGGAACTGCTAGTTCTTTTGGAAGTTCTGGAGAATTTGATGAGCTGGAGATAGAATGATGGAGATAAAGGCCACAAAACTCACTCTTAATAATGTTTAGTGATTTTTCTTGAATGACTATTCCTTGGATTTTGACGTTGGCTAATTTACAGAGTTTTTGTTTTATTTATAATCCTTACCCAAGGATATTTTTTCTGTTGATTTTTAGAGAGTGAAAGGTAGAGTCAGAGAGAAATACTGATGTAAGAAAGACATGTGGAAGATGCAGTTGCATCTATAGAATAATGTTACAACTTTGTGAAACTGAGTTATGGCAGTTCTGATCAAAACCAAGTATCATGCAAAAATAGTGTGGACAATAAACAAAGGTGGTGATGGCCAATTGAATTCCAAGGTCTGAGCAGTGGTCTAGAGCGTATTCATCCCATTGGTATTTATGATTATTTAAGAAGGAACTGAAAAAATCAGCAGGTATAGAAAATGGAGGTGGAATAGACAGATGGTCCCAAGCCTTGTCCAGGAGCAGAAAGAAAGAACAGCTGAGAGTTGCACAGGGAGTATTTGTTGGCAAGTTAAGGGACATCTATTCTCCAGGAGAAGTTTGGGGACTGTTGGATGGGGTTCCCCTGACTGGGCAGCCCCCACTGCTTCTGGGTCCCATCCCAGAGCCACAGGCTCAGACACAGAGACCATGCCATCTTGAAGGGGAAAGTAGATCTTATTGGAGGCTTGAAAATCTACAACTGTGGCAACTACAGGACAGCTGTGAGTCCCAGAACTCCAGTCCCCAGTTGGTGCAAACATGCAGATTCAGAGGAGCTCTACACTCCACCACAGAAAGGTCAGACTTCGCCTGGGAAAAGGTAAGGTCTCTGGTCCCAGCAGGAGAGAAATGCATGCACTGTGGGAGCTGGAGGACCAAGGGAAGTCTGTGCCTAGAAAAATCCATGGCTGTTGGGGCTGGTGTGATCCATGAATATGGAAGGGGGTCCTCAGAGCTGCTAACAGAAGGGATCTCTAAAAAGCAACCCATTTTGTTCTGATGCAAAAGGACAGCCTAAAAATTCTAAAAGTGTTCTGGCTGCTTAGACCCAAGGGGGAAAGAAAGACTGTGTAGACATGCATGCAGCCCCATTGTTTGCACACATGGACTTTTTCCTATTCAAATCCTTGCTTCTAATTACTAAACCCAATACGTAGGATCACCCCATTGGGGACACCCTAGAAGACTTCAGGGGAAAGCTGTTTTTCTGGAACCTGGGGAGCAGAGGGGGGAGTGACCATTGGAGAGCCAGCTCTGGGACAGCCCACTCCCACAAACTGATATTGAGTGCCACAGGAAAAGCGGGATCTAAGAACAGGCTCGAGAGGCCATATAGACCCAGAAGTCAATCCAGAAACAGGACTGAATCACAAATTGACTCTTGTGTAATCAAAATAAAGGAATATGAGAAATTAAGACACCACCTGCTTAAAAATCAGGACTGGCTTACAACACTTAGGAGCAGTGGAATGCAGGGATATGCAATATTGTCCTGACTGGGAATCAGGCGTGCCAAACAGAACAATAGAGGAAGTGAATGACCTTCACTACTGCACATCTTATCTATTCATTTTTATTTTTTTCATATTCTACTTAAGAAACTAATTTTTTTTTCTTTTTACTGCACTTGATTTTACCTTTTTATTATTACATTTTTATTTTCAATCAGTATTATTACTACTATTATTTTACCTTTTATTATTATTTTTTAAGTGTTATTTCATTTTCTCTTTATTTTATTTTGGGATTAGTGTTCTACATTATATTTTCATTTTTCCTTTAACATTATTTTACTCTATCTCAATTCTACCTTTATGCCATCACTCTCTTACTAACTTTTCCCTTTTTGGTGTCGTGTTTCTCTTACCCTTTTTTTGCTTTAGATTTTTTCTATTCTTTCTGTTTACTCCATGTTAAAATTGCACACTACTTATATATTTAATTTCCCATTCCCTGCTCCAAGTCCATACACACCTCTCTCTCCTCTATCTAAACTAACCAAAAACTTGTTTTTCTCTCTGTTCTTATGTTATTGTTGGCTTGAATGTTGATGATATTGAGTCTGTATGCTTTTTTGTGAGATGGTTTT